GTGTTGTTTTGACAGGTCTAAAAAAAACAAGTGTCCTGACCACACTCTGTCTTCCTAATTTAATTACGTAGGCTTGACAGAGCCAAATAGAGAACATTTCTGACTTTAACTCCTCCGACCTAGAGATTTTAAGCTGCATCCGCCAAACTCAGCACTGTCCTGCAGCCTGATCAATCAAACAATTAAAACACATTTTTTTATACAACTATTTGCGTTTCCTTATCGTTTTGTCAAACGCTTTCTTTATTCATTTGCCAATAGCATGAAAACAAATGCAATTGGACAGGCAAATGGTAGCAAAGCAATTGGCCAATGTTTTTTTAATCCAATTTAAAAGTTGCATTCAAAAATGTGTTAAAACAAATGAAATGTATTATTTAACAATTTTAAATATAATATTTATTATTTTCAATTTCAGTTAAACAGGTTTAAATATTTTATCAATTTGAAAAATAAAATTATTGAAAAATAAAAAAAATAATAATAATAAATTAAAACTATTAAAATTTTTAATACATTTTTAAGTGGCACTCCTAGCTCTCTATATACTCAGAAAAAACAAAAATAAATAAATATAGAATAATAAATGTATAAATAAATAAGAGATGAAACAGTAAGAAAAATTCATATTATAATTATATTATGACAGTGAAGTATAACTTAACGACATGTACTTACTATAGAGTTACGGGTTAGGGTTAAATATGCATCATCAAACCGGTAATTGTCAAACCGGTAACCGGCAATCCCTAAGATAAATTAATTAATTAATTAAAATGAGAGAGAATTCATCCTGTCTGAGTGGCCTTGTCTACCTTGGACAGATTGACAAAAAAACTTGATTGCAAAATGGATTATTATGGATTGTAGGTCAGAATGTTCAATAAAACAATATATTCAATATATTTAATATATTTAAAGCTTCACTAATCTGCCAAAATAAATGTACATTTTCTTAATTTGGGAGCTCATCCAATATTGATGTATGCAATTAATTGCAATTAATTAACTGGCATATCATGTTACTAATTCAATTAAAATTAATAGATTGACAGCCCTAGTTTTTTTTTTTTTTACTTTCAGACAAGGTTTTATCAAGCCAACATCAAAGTTTGTCTTAAGGAACTTTCCTTTTGTAGTTTTTTGATTGTGAAGCTCTCCTCTGATGTGAAGTGGGGCATGAGTAGCAGCGTGCACTGCAGACAGGAGAGGCCTTGCTTGCTTTGGAGAGGCAGATGTCTGGGAAAGCTTATCTGGACCAGTTTGCGAGATACTGCATTGCAAGATGTTTCTACCCCCAAAGAGCATCAGCATGGCACTGCAGGGGGAGCGTCAGGCGTGTACGACTAGACTGTACCAACATGTGTAAGTGAGTACAAAGATCAGCTACCACCAGATGAGCTTAGCATGGGCAATATCGATGCCAGAGGCAAAAGCTTATGTATACACACAGAGAGAGATCTCTCTTCACAAGTGCTAACAGATTTGTACTCATTTTGTCTTCTTTTTTCCCTCAAACCCTCCAACAAACAAATTCACTTTCATTCATCTAAGAAAACAATATTGTGTGCACATGGATCAACAGACACTCCTACACACAAAATGCACACATTTAAAATGATGAACAATAGAAAAAGTACTAAAATACAACTTTATACTTGAAACTGTTGCAAGAAGTATTAAAGGGTTGGATCAGCAGAACCAAAAAAAAAATCTGATAACATTACATACAAGTTATTCCAAATCCATTTGATATGTTTCATGTTTTGTCCTTCATGCAGAACAAAATATAAAGTGCTCGATTGTTTTATCAATAAGAATTATTTAATTAAAAATACAGTAAAACAGTAATATTGTTAATTGTTAAATTAACTTTTCTATTTTAGTAAAAAAAATGTAAAAAATTTTTATTACTGTGATGACAAATCTGAATTTCAGCATCATTACTCCATTCTTCTTCAGTCACATGATCCTTCAGAAATCATTGTAATATGCTGCTCAAGAAACATGCCTTGTTATTATTTTCAATGTTGAAAACAGTTTTTGCTTCTTAACGTGTTTGTGGAAACCGTGATACTATTAAAACATTTATGGTACGATTTTTAAAAAAAAGATAAATTAATACTTTTATTCATGAAGGATGCATTAAATTGATCAACTGACGACATTGAAGACATTTATAATGTTACAAAATATTGTAACAATACAACCGTGAGTTTCATCTGCTCAGGTGTATGAACAACATAAAATTTATAATCGAAACTGTTAAAGGTACAATATATAAGAATTAAGAATTTTGTAATAAAATATCCAAAAATCACTTGCACAAAGTGATATATTTCCTGCAGTTGTGTACTTACAATATGCCAAAAGTCTCCAAAACAAATTTTATTTCAGAGAAATTCCAATTTTAAATAAGTGGCAAATGTCGCCTCTCAATGACGCAATATCCGCGCTATCCTCGGTTTCCGTTCAATTTGCCATAGCATGACGTAACCATGGGAACAGATGTGGACAACTGCGTAGTGTGTAACGTTTAACGGCACACAGTTCTTGTTTCTTTCAAACATAGACCATGGCAAGCAGACTTTGGGACAAACAAGGAGAACTAAAATGAGGATCAATATCAGTGTGATATTTTTGAGATGCCGAGATCTCCACGTCCGCGACTAACTTCGACTTGACGGCGCTTTATTAGACAGGTGAGCAAATGTACATAAAACAAATCAATGTTATATAACGTTAGCTAGAAAATTAGAATATGGTCAGTATGTTATTCTAATGTTGATCTAGTTTTAATGCTAGTTTTGTATAGCAAACAAACTAACACGTAGTATTACATTATGACTTTCAACACACAAAATGCCGTTTAGTGTGATATTGTAACGTTAGACCAAGTGAAGCAGCGCTGCGTTACCTCACAAGTTTAATTCATCTAATAAACTGACTAATCCAGCACTAGCGGGTAGTTCGGTAGAATTAAATGTCCTTATTCCTTTATATCCGCGGGACTCGCGCGTGTCTCTTTAGCAATCGCGACCAGCTTCATATCACTGTAATGTTAAAAAACATGAATGTTTGCACTCATCCATAAACATTATTAGATCCATCAGCTTGACAGCAAGTCCCATCATTCAGCTCATCACTGCGTCATCAACCTATGCCTTTGTTACTGTTAGAAACTGCGCCCTCTTGTGGCAAAAAATATTACATATTGTGCCTTTAATAGAAAACACGATATCAAATAATAAAACATACTTACAGTTCCATAAACAACTGATTGTCCAGACAAAGTGGGAATGCTCCATCTTTCAGGAGAAGTTTTTGTTCTCTCTTAGGTTCTGGAAGCTGTTCTCTGTAAAATGTGCATCACACAGATAAATATTGGGGTTATAATGTCCAGGAACAGTGTTAAAAATAAATATTAACCACTGTTTTCTCATCCACCCTAAGCCCGGTACACACTGTCGGATCTTTGGCTACGATTTGGCCGTCTGAGACAAACTTTGCAAATCCTAAAAGATTCCTCTGATCCTAAATCTGAAGTATTTTATCGTTAGTGTGACATGTTCACCGACAGCCGATTAATGACCAAATTTTACCTCTGACAGTTCTGCAGTGTGACTTCTGTTACGACGACCGTCAAATTGTCATTTTTCAAGACAAGGCATGACCAAAATTAACCTAACAGATATTTTATATCCAGTATTTCAATCCCGAGTGTAATGCACCTCACTGTCACCGAACGTGTCATTGATTGATGATGTAAAACTCATGATCATGTGCGTACAGTCTGACAAGCAACAATAGTAAAGGACTATTATAAATCTTACAGTGTGCACAGAGCTTTAGCAAGGCCAAACAAGGGGGTTTTGGACCTGGGGTGTAAAAAAATCCTAGACCTTTTTTTTTGTTTTGTTTTTTTTTCTTTACCGTGGGTGGAGATTATTTAAATGAGTGACATTGTGACTTCACAAGATCCGGAAAAAGCACGTTCTAGTCCCAACAAGCCGTTTGTTGTAGTTCTTGAAGACGGTTTTCTATTAAAGACAATAGCCCTTTGGAGTTTGTAGCCCTTTGGAGCCGACTTTGAGCTTTGTATCCGTGCAGATCATTTTTTTTATGACCAAACGACAACATTACACACTAACTAAAATTGTGAAGTGAAATAGCATAATGGGACCCCTTTAATTGATGACAGATATTTTATTTTTGGGTGCACAATCCATTTATTGTAATCATAAAAATAGGTAGCTATACAGTAGATGTATATAAAAAATGATTACTCTCATGATGTCATAAGAATTGTTTGCGGCTTCCTGTGGGGAGTGGATTTCCAGTCTAAGTTTACGATAAATGTATTTTTAGTTTCGCAGATCGGGGAAGAGGGAGAGGAACAGAGCCAAGGTGTGTTGATGGAGCTGCAATCCTGACCATCCCCTGGGCAGCACGCGGAGTTACAGTTACATGGACGAGGAGTGTGTGCAAGATCAAATATTCACTTGTGAAAAGTCCACAGAGGCTGCATCCTCCTCCCATTAATATCAGCTTCCGTCTGGATTTTGTCAGCCAAACCCAGTGGGAGGAAATCGTCTGTCATCAGGAGCGTACACGTGTGCGCTCACATACAGTATACAATCACACACACGCACACACATTTCCAAAGCAATACAAGGAGAGGCACGCAGCACACAATGTCAATTTTTGAATTTGGTGATGTACGAATTTTATACACACGATATCTTTCAGCAGACAAGTGTAGGATACCGTGAGAAAACTGGTATGAGAATGAAGCATGGTCCTGCATCAGAGACAGTGAATCGGGATGAGAGAATCAAGGTTTGGCTTGTTTGCCTTGAAGTTGCCATAAAATCAAATTGATCATTCTTATTTTTTCATGGAATATTGCAGTATTTTTTATTTATTTAACAGTGCGCATCATTATTTATTTTCTTAATTCATGTGCCCTCTTAATCTTTAAAACATTAACTTACCCACCCCATAGCAACGATATCTCTTCACTGATGACGTGTGGTCCGGGGCAAAGGGCTCAGCAACAACCCTTCCTCTCCAACACCTGCCACTCACAAGACATGAGAATGCAGCAATAATCAAACATCTAACCACAGACCCAATTAATTCACAATGAAAATCAAATACCTCTCTACATTTTTATCTATTATATATATATATATATATATATATATATATATATATACATATATATATACATATACTATATATATATATATATAGACACACACATCTATATTAAACAAGACAAAAATACCAGTTTTTTTATGCAAAACAAACCGTGCTGTTCGGAGGCTCCTGCAAATGCCATTTACAGTAGATGAATATGAAAGCTAACAGATAGCTGAAGAATGCGAGCCTCATGGTGTGAAACAATAAACAAAACAAAAAAACAGCAAGGCATGACCCAAGAGCCAAAGATCTGTAACATTTTTTAAAAAATAGAGCAAACTACAAATACATATGTATACAGTACTTTTGTTGCATTAAAAAAATCATAGTTTTGTTATAGCACCACAACTAAAAAAACAAAGACATTATTTTTTAGATAAATTAGTAAACTGCTCATCCACTTCAGGATGGAGAGGTGAGAGAGCAAGAAACAGAAGAGAGCAGGGAAAACTAAGAAAGATGCAACGGCTTTGTTGCGTTTTGTATTCATCTCTTATTCTTCCTTCCTTCCTTTCATCCATGACTTTCTTGCTTTTACCAGCTCAGTCTAGTATGCAAACACACACACACACAAGGACTCACTATAGAGCGGAGGGCAGGCAAAGGGGTGTATTGGGTTTCGCCTGTCTGATAAATAGCCTGTTTACTTATAGAATACGTCAGACTAAGACTATGATGGATGAGAAAGACAGTAGCCTCCCCTAACACATACAGTACTCTCCCTGCCACACACACAGAACACACACGTTATTTCATAGAGCTTATTCACACTCAGGGGCCGTTACTAAAAACAGATAACTTTTATGCGTTTTGGCCATTTATTTTCACGACAACAGCGTTTTGTGGGCTGGAAAACACAAACTTCTGAAAACGGGTTTCAAAGTGTAAGCTTTTGAGAACGATAAAATTACAATTTCCGTGTAAATTATTAAAAAACGAAAAATTGTGAAAACGGTGACATCATCCGCTTGCGTATTACATGTTCAGTCTATGGCCCTGTTTACAGGAGAACGCCCGCGGGTGAAAACGTACAAATATTTTATCGCATGTTCCTTTCGTTTACACGGCGACAGCGTTTTTTTGGGGCTTAAAAATGCAAAAAAGTGAAACCACCCTCTCTGGAGTGGAAATCTTAAAAATGCTCCACCACCGCGTTCCAGTGTAAACGGTAAAACCGCAAAAGTGAATGTTGTACGCAGGCGCGCAGACTTGGTGTTGTCAGAGAATGTCTAATTGAAGAGAATTGGCACTGGCTGGTTACTTTCGGGTTCTGGACTGGCTGCAGTAACACGTCTCTGTCCATGCGGGGGCGCTCGCGGTCGAGTGCAGAATGAATGGGAGTCAATGGGGTTTCACCCCCAGAAATCCACTTTTCTCAGGATGTAATTTTTTGTCAAGTAATTTGAAAGTTGCATTCAAAAGGGAGGGCTAAGAAAATACACTCAGCTGAAAATTGCATTTTTAAGTTCACTTATCTGTTCTAAAAAATCCGTTCAAAAATGTGATGACGTCACACAATAGCAGAATGCTAGGGTGTTCCGGTCAACAACGGCCTAACCTGTAAGAAATCAAAAGGACATAAGTACTCGTTCATTCGACTTTTGGCCTATAATCTATATTGAACTTGCGGAATCAACAATAAAATCTATTTTGATTTAACGACAAGCAGGTGAAAGAGACACATTTAGCCGTTTAGCCCCATAGACTCCCATTCATTCTGCACTCGTTCGCGATCACCCCCAGTGGAATTCTAATGGAACTGAAACCAAGGTGATGCACAATGGGGCTAATAGGAAGTGTCAAGGCTCTCCGTTAGACGGGCTCTGGTGTTGTCGTGTGGCAGTGCTCCACGTTGCCACCTAGCCGCCTGGAGTGCAAACTAAATTGAATTTCACACTCTTTTGCATCACCATATGCACATGGATTTCTCACCAAAAATGCTCATCTAAACGCAGAATAAAAAGTGATAACACAATGCCACTTTTGCGTTTTCTCTTCAGAATCGTTTCCGTGTAAACATAGCCTGTAGGTGCGTAGTTTTTCTTTACAAAGTGACATCGCCAACTACTGGCCTGGCAGCAGAATACAGCGTTTTTTTATTGTTTTACAGAGACGCATGAATGCGGATCACAAAAACGTGAAGGAATTTTTTTTTTTTTTTTTTTTTTTTAGTACATCGTGGTCATTTTGCTGTATGTTTATTAGATTTTTTTATTTAAGCCCTAGTTTTAGTTATTTTAGTACATCAAATTGAACTATGATAATGATAGCTGTTGCTTTGGTAACTATGCACTTTCTGTAAAGCTGCTTTGAAACAATATGTATTGTGAAAAGCGCTATACAAATAAATATGAATTGAATTGAACTAGCTGAAATAAAATAATCAAACAGTAAAGCTCTTGTCCAATAGCAACAACAGCAGAGCAACTTTAAGGAGGTAGTGCCTCTGTTGCTTTAACCTTTGTGTGTCCTCGTTTAAAACAAATAATTAAAGACAAATAATAATAATAAAATACATGAAAAAAGAAAGGTAAATTGTATCTCAGTATTCAAAGTATTTAATGAGGAAACTGTAGGCTAAACAACATCAAATGGAAATTGAATATTCAGCAGTCCACCACACGCCACTGCTGCGGATCATATCCACTGCTCACATGCACGAAAACACACCTGCATATGCATAGGAAATCCCCCTGCCAAATAGGAAACTCAGACTTCTCTTTACCCTTTCTGTCCCTCACACATTCAACCACATTCTGAGAACACACACAAAGACAAAAGAGAAATATAGAGAGAGATTTATCGCTTTGTTTGTGCATATCACCCAAATGGAGGCTTTTAAAACGCAGAGCGGTAAGCAAGTGGAGTGAGGTTTCATGGTCACACTCATATTATTACAGAGACAAAATACAGCCAGTGCATGCTGGTCCGTCTGACGCCCCCAGTCACTGCTTGAGCGAGCGAACACATCAGCGGAGAGACTAAAGGATGAGCTAAAACGAGATGAAGAGATTGAGCTGGACTGTTGCAGGCTGCATATTCAGAATTTTAAGAAGATAAAAAAATCCATCAACTGCACAGTGGGAGCACCGTGACAATATTCTTCATTAACCTTTTTTCCCCAGCCAATTTTGTTTGCAATCATTTTATAATTTCCAAACTTCTATGACTTTCTTTCTCCCATGGAACACAAAAGGAGAAATAAGTCAGAATGTTCATGCTGCTTCTTTCCAATAAAAAAAAATAAATAAACAGGTAATTTTTCAAGTAATACTGCCCAACAGCAACAGTTTCAAGAACCAACATCTAATTTGCCTTGGTTTAGCTTGGTTTGCCCTCATTATAAAATAAAATAAATCAAAACACAATAAAATAAATAAAATAAGCAGTGTTGTAGTACTCGAGACTCGGACTCGTCTCGGACTCGGTCTCGAGACCATATTTTAATGGTCTTGGTCTTGTCATGGACTCGTGTCCATTTGGACTCGGAATTGACTCGTACTCGAACATTTTTTTTTTTAGGACTCGGAATTATTCCAGTCCACTCGAGTTCAATTCAAAATATTTTTCATGATTATTAATGTATGTTAATAAAATATTTCTTTAAATTGATTGACACACCCAGTGATTGGTGATTTTCTAGTGCGCAACTGCGCATGACAAATTGTAATATAATTACTTTTAACACCACCTACTATGTGGCCTTTTTACCCTAAACTGATCATATTTTTTAAACTCTAAGTAAATTCAGTAAAAAAAAAAAAAAAAATTCTCTAAGTAAATAAAAGTAAATTAGGTAATCAACCCTCACTGGTCTCGGTCTCGACTCGGACTCGACCGTCTCTGGTCTCGGTCTTGACTCGGACTCGACTCTCTATGGTCTCGGTGTCGACTCGGACTCGAGTGAGGTGGTCTCGACTACAACACTGAAAATAAGCGCTTCTAGAGCTAGACTGCCCCCATGGTCACTGTCTGCTTGCTTAGTTTAAAATTAATTTCTTCAAAAAAGAACATTTTGTAATAATTTACTCATATATTTGTTCTGTAGAACACAAAAGAAGATGTTTAGAAGATCTTTTAAATTGTCAAAAGTCAATGAGGTCCATATCTTTTATTGTGTTCTGCAGAAAAACGAAATGACATGAGTAAATTATTATCACAGAACGTTAAATGAACTAAGCTTCTGCAGAGCTCCTAGTGTCTCTCCAGGGGTCTGCCCGAGTTCCCACAGAGAGCGCCCCTTCCCCCTCGTCTCCCCTGCGCTGTCTCGGCGTGCCTTGGACCTCCTGCCTGAGGGATACGGGTAAATCAGCATAGCTGGCTTGTCTAACAGACGGAGATGTGTGTTATTTGGCCGAAAGAGGTATGTGCGAGAGTGAGCGCTCTGTGCCATGGCTGTGCTATTGCTGCCCAACTCTGCCAGTCCTTCCATTTCTGCATGAGGTCGGCCTGATTTACAGCACCCTGTTGGGGTCCCCAGCTGCCTGACGCCCACCCTGATACCAACACCATATGTAGGGGCGAAACACCTGCATAAAGTGGACGCAAAGGGGCAGTAGGCATGATGTTTACAGCAGGTGGATCTATATATTTATATACTTTTTATTATCAGAGTGGTTGGCAGTGTTATGATGGAAAACATACTGAGGACGTATGCAGAGTGTTTAGAGGGGGACACAGTCTCGGGTTCCTAATGGATATTGTGCAAGTGAAAAACCAGTGTGGTTTTAGCACAAGCATATGCGCACATACTGATAAATAAAGTTTGTGGGGGGTTACAGAAGTGGTCTTGCCAAGAGTCTTACTCTGCCTCGGAGACAGCAGGTGAATATATTTATAAACACACATCGCCCAAACTATCTGCCTTTACACTGACACATTCACCAACTACATTTTAAACAGGATTTACAGGGTGTGGATTCAAACATACCCCCATAAAATGTCCACGATAAAACTGGTTCACCTGGAGTCCGGCGGCACTGAAGTGTCTATCTGATAATTTCAGGGAGTTGAACTCCGGAGTCCTGTTACTGTGTTTTATGACACCCTTCACTATATATTTCAGCTTTACAGACAAGGGGGGAAAAAACTCTATCCAAGTGGTCCTCAACTGGTAGGTCACGGACAGCAGGACAAAATGCAATTAATAAGATGACAAGTTGCACAAATCAAGAGTTAGTATGGGAATGTAAAAATATATTATAATAAACATGATGTATGCATATTGTGTAATATGTGGTATATACACTCTTAGAAAAAAGGGTTCATTGGGGTTCCATATATGAAGCATAGGGTTCTTTACTGTTTAAGCTACAAAATCTTCTATAATGACAAGAAAGAACCCTTTTGGCACAGAGGTTCTTAATAGGCTATTATTCATTCATATATTACATTATTCTGCAACATTTTGTAGTTGTAATTAAATTATTGTTTATTAAGCTGTTGAAGTAACTTAATATCACATTTTAATCATGCTGATTTTTGGAGGAGAAAAACTAAAATGGCACTCTTTGTGTGATATTGATTAACTACATAAAATGATTTAAATATATACATTTTCTATCTTGAATTTTGTGATCATTCACATGCATTCATGAATACATTTTAGGGTCTTGATGTTTATTAATAATATGAAATATTTAATCCGGAAAGGACAAAACAAATGATAATGATATATATATATATATATATATATATATATATATATATATATATATATATGGTGGTGGTGTAAATACATTTTGTTTTGCTAAGCTACAGCATGGATCACCGACGTAAAAACCTGGATCCTAAGCAAAACCTGTTGAGAAACCAGTCTATCCCAACTTCCATCACATGTGAAAAAAGAAAGGATCTCACAATGGCATAGCAGGCATTCACCAAACCAAAGGAGGAAGAGAGAGAGAGAGAGAGAGAGAGAGAGAGAGAGAGAGAGAGAGAGAGAGAGAGAGAGAGAGAGAGAGAGAAATCAACAAATGCAGTGTTGTGCAAGGGCAGAGTGCAATATAATCGCTGGCACATGGTTCGGCGGACTGACCTGAAAGCTCACGCTGAATGTGCTGTGGATGGATATGTTGTGTGCACAGGGGCCCCGGCTGTAAGAGGGATGGATGGGGTGAGCTGGACGGGTTCCATGCCCTTAATCCCCCTGCACAACCTTTGAGCCATTGGTCTGGATCACCATATCCAGCACTTTCATGCAGCTGACAGCTATTCATTTACACACGTGCCTCATAGAAAGAGAAGCACCAAATTTAGGATGGAGAGAGGGATCTGAAAAAAGAGATGCATTGCTCCAATTACTTTCTTGCAGAAAAAAAACTTGGTTAAACAACTTGAACAGGTCTTAGCTGCTGATCTATCAAGCCAGATTTAGGGGGTATTTTTCAGCTAGTCAACCAGCTTCATCAAGCTTGGCAAGTGCAAACCAATTAGACTGGCTCGGCCAGGCTGTGGGACCTGGAGGTGGTTGCATAAACGGCTTAGACTGGTCTTAAAAGTTAGTCTCAAGACTCATTACATCTTGACTAATTGCTTGGTCAAATTAGTTCTTAAGACAGTCTTAACATATTGGCTAAGTTTATGCAATTGGCCACTGATCTTAAACCAGTTAAGACCAACAAATAAGTTTATACTTAGATGTTTTTTTTCTCATCAGAATATGACATAAATTCAAAACTTAACATGTACTTCTTACTTCTAAACACTTGTGTTGGTGATGTGTATGTCTAAAGACAGCTTGTCCTTCACAAGCGTTTTTGTTTTGGTAGAAAGAATCTGTAGATAACAGGCAAATATTCACATACTGATGTCTGTCACTGGCTGCCAACATAATCAAGACACTGACAGTAAACTGATTTAGAGCAGTAGCCCCTCTGTAACCTTATTAATATTTAATAATAGGAAATACAACTGAATCTCGACACACAAAAAGAAATGTCAAATATGAGCAAATAACTACAGATCAAGGACATATTATACCACAGAAACGATGTCTATTCCAGCATTAGAAGATCCAGCCAGCATATCTATTCAGGAAACAGCTTAATCCTGTGTAATTCCAGGTTAAAGGCATCCTCAAATCCAGAGCATCAGAAATTCAGTAAATGTCAGAAGTGATAAGTGGCAGGTGGATAGTGGATTTAGGGAGTTAGCAGTTCAGGGATATTTTGCAGTGTCTGGATACGTATTCTGGGAATGCACAAAGACATTGAATGTCACTGTTGCAAATGTTTTGAAGCTAATAGAGGGTGTTGACAGACAATATATAAGAACAGGGGATTTTTTCCCTCCTAGTTTAGTTATCTAACATCCATATTTTTGGCCTGTGCAATTGTTATGTTCAATTCCCGAATTTCTAAATATTCTTGATGCTCTGATTACAGGAGCCCGGTGGCATATTGTGAACATAAATCTCATTTAATGTATTTTAAGTCTTTTATGTTCACCAAGGCTGCATTTATTTGATCAAAAATAGGCTACAATAAACACTACTATTGTAAAATGTTGTTACAATTTAAAATACTTTAAAATCCAACTTTGAATAATCAACTTATTCTTCTAACAAAGCTGACTGGGCCATTTCTATAGCACATGATCCTTCAGAAATTAATCGAATATGCTGATTTAGTTCTCGTGAAACAGTGATGACGTCACTTTGTATGCCAACCCGGAAGTTAGCGGCGCATGGTTTTCCCCATCGACTTTTGGAAAATCGCAAAAAATAAGATCTGTGTTCAACAAAGAGTTGTGACCCTTACACGTTTTGTCTATCAAGATAATATGTACAGGTTAATCCAAGATTTATACATTTTGAAGCCTAAATAAAGCTGTCAGATATAAAATGTGGACTACAGCACACCATGGTCGCGGATCAACGTCATCATCAAGCTTCCTCAAACTTTATGTTGAAAACATCTTTGATGAATAGAAATAAAAAACTAAATTAATTTGAAATAGAAATCTTTTGTAACATTATACACGTAACTTAAATGTATTCTTGCCTTTAAAAAGAAAACCTGACTGACCCCATATAGCATAGTAGGCCTAAGTTACTTTTTTACGATGTTTTTGTGTACGACACAATTCTGATATTAAATACAACAACAGCACAATTGCAACTGTGATAGGTCTACTTCTTTTATACAACAGTTCTGTACACAAAAAAAACTTATATTTAGAAACTTACGTTTCTGAAGTGACTCAGTTGGTATTTCATCTCGGAAAAGTCAAAAGCTTTGATAATCGCCAAGCAACGCAGAGACTAAACTCCGGCCTGGAGTTATCCATGGAGCGGAACATACTACTGGAAACCGACACCACAGCGTTCATATAAAGATCCACTCCGGCTTTACAACGTCGATGCTCTTGTCTTTGGCCGCTCCCGATATCAAAATACGCTTCTCGCTCAGCTCGTTTTCAGACAATACCGAAAAATGGGTCGCAGCAATAATCTGAGTTAGTTTCAAGAACGCCATGGTCACTGTGCTGTTGAGCTCTAAGGCCTCTGGGCCAATCAATTTTGAGGACAGGGGTGTTGATGTTATCATGTATAACTGTATTTTTTGTCATTTTTGTATTACTTTATAAAACTTTTAATTTACATGTTTTATTTATTTTATTTTATATGTTTAAAAAGTAATGAGCTATGATGTATTTTAACGTTCTTTCAGTTGCAGCTGTAACATGCTTTATTGGCTTATGAAATTTGCATTGGATTGATACTTCTTAGAATATTCCTATTTGGTTAAATTGAGTGCTATACATACAATAAGAAAAGAAACGGACAAACTGGAAAAATCAGATAAAAATAGCCTTAAATAATAATACTTGCTGAACTTGAAAATAAAAAACAAAACAATAATAACAATAAGAATAATTCGGGGGTTTTTTTACACTTTCTAACGGAAAAAAAAAAAGTCTTTGTCTCTATGATATCTCGATCTAGATGCAAGTTTATTGCCCATTTTACCAAGTGGAGACATGCACATGCTTTCGCCCAGATTTCCCTGAAAAAAAAAATGACACTGTTTCATTGTTTAGCGATATTTCTTTCTTTCTATCAATACATGGTGTATTTGAACTGCTGAAGCAGTAGTAAGTTAGACTGTCTCTCTCACACTCTCACACACATCCTCCCTCCATCTCTGTGTACTTGTCCGCTCTCTGCTCGGGCCTTTCACACACCGACAGGTTTGGGACCCCTGAGCAGCATGACACTGCATGATGGATGAGCTCTCGGACCTTCAAACCAACCCCACCATAGGAGGGGTCTGTGTGCGCTCTCCGTCTCACCAGCAGCACCTCATTCAGAATGCCCACCCCACCCGCTCCACACACTCTCCTCTCGTCCTCCTGAGAGCCACTCAGCAGGCGGGCCAGAAGAGGTCACGCCGCGGGCAGGACATTTATGAGGTGTAGATATTTGCCTTCTCTCAGAAAAAACACACTGTGGCATTGACATGGTCTGGCTTCTGCTCTTTCAGGTTTTCAAGTTTCAGGTTCAGTGAGTTGCTGGAATAGCTGTCCATGTCTGATACAGCTATAGCAAAAGCACAGCATTTGTTTATTTTTGTCATTCGTGTCAGGCAGCCGAACACGATCGAATCCTGCAGTGTTGCTCAAAATGTTCGGTATAAAAGTAAACGGCCTTTATAGCGCACAAACTAATAAAACATTCCTCCCCCAGTGGTCACACATGCGTCTGATGCATGACGGGCCCCCGGCTCCGGGTATGACTGATGCGAGATGATCATTCACTCCGGTTCTTCTGGTCAGTCTCACCCTCTAGTACCAATGCAGTCACATGCATCCAAACCTTCCTCTCTCAACATGGCAAACTGGGAAATCAAGGTTTAGAGACTTTAGACTTTTGAATAACAGTGTTTACACAAAAGTATTAAAAAGCAAAAATTCTTTTCAACACTGATAAATGTTTCTTTAGTACCAAATCAGCATATTAGAATGATTTCTGAAGGATCGATTCATGTGACACTAAAGACTGGAGTAATGATGCTGAAAATTCAGCAATATACATTTTAACAAATACATTCTTTTAAATTGCAATAATTTTTATATATAAATAATATTACGTTTATACTGTATTTTTGATCAAATAAAAGCAGCCTTGCTGAGAGTGAGATGTGTTTAACAACATTTAAAATATTTCTTATTCCAAACTTGAGTGTCTATAAAAAAAAATTAAATTAGGCATGTTTTTTTATTTATTGCTGACTTCTTAATAAGACAACCCTTTGTGGAAATACATTTAGACATGAAACAGAAAAGCAGAAAAAAAGGAATTGTTACTAAATGCATTTTGAATACTTTTTTACCTGTGCTCAGGAAAAAGTAATTTAAAAATAAGGAGTTATGAATGTAAATCACACAGGATAGAACAATCATCTAATCGTTTAACTGTGTGCAGAAACCATATTCTTCCTGCAGTGTGAAGGTGTGTATAATACAATTACATTACACATTTTTTTAAGCTGTCAAAAATGGTCATACTGCCTGCCATGAAAACTTTTTAAGTGGTTCTTTTGAAAACCATCTATATGTGCTTAATTTTTCTAGAAATCAATATACTGATCTGAAGAACCCATTGCCTGATCACCAAAACCTGTTTAAATCTCCAGAATAACATATAGCGAACTCAAAAATGAAATCAAGAACAGAGTTTGCTCAACCTAAGGTGCTAAGGTCAGTGAATAAACAAAAACATGTCCAGATTTTCACCACAAAAGCAAAAGATAAAAAAAAACATATATATATATATATATATATTGTATAAAGTATAAGCCTTTTGTAATCCACCCCCCTTCCACCAAGAAATACACTTATGTATAAATAACGTGATTCATTTGTATTTTTCATGAAAATAACGCCACAATGTTAAACGGGATTAATTTTCTGTAGACAAAATATAATATTGTATTTCTTTCTGGTAAATTAGTGAAATATGACATATTCCTGATAATCACTCAAATCTAATCTGTTACTTATTGCCTGCAGAATATCCTGCCAAACTTGTAATGTACCATTGTTTGCAGACTTCATTTCTCCATGTTCTCTCTCTGCCCACCTCTCTTTATCTTTCTCTTTATAAAGCGGTATTAAAGTAAAATGACCTGCATGTGGTCATGACCTAACACTGCCTTAATGTGCTGTCGGAAATTTCCTACTTCCCACTTCTGAAGTTGTCATGAACACCAGGTTTATGTTTGGGAAAATCTTCCTAATGCCAATATTATATTTAGCTTCCCATTTATTGACAACCAAATAAACATTCACCATAAAATGTAGGCAGTCAGTTTGCTGACAATTCTGGAATTTCAGTCTCAGCAGCAATCGTAGACCGCTTCTCCATGTTTAAAGTGTATTGCTCACCTAACTTGGGAATTATTACTATGGTATACAACTTGAAAACTGTTCATGTCCAATTTTAACAAGGAAACTCATAGTAACAATAATTCCAATGGCACATGAAGGCAACATTAACCAGCTGAAACTAAACAACAGTCAATACTCTGGACTTTTCAAAACATATGCGCCGTTCGCCGACAGTGTATCAAGCTACTGGATTAAATATATTTAATATATGCATATACATTCAGGTAAATCAATGTTTTCACAATATCAAACAACCTTGAATAAAACACATGGAGGCAAGGCCATTTAGATTTTTTTAATTAAATGCAACACGAATGCAATAAAATTAAGATAAATAACGTTAACAGTGGAAATATATTAGAGTTATATTCCCCACAAGGTCAAAAAGAACATCCACCGTAAAAATCAGTTCCAAGTGGGTCTCAAATTCAGGTTACACAATGATTCTATTTCCTTTGAGGCTTGGCCAACTTCCTGGCACGCTGGTGGTGCCAGTGCCATCTCCATTCGAGCGTTGAATCCAGTGTTTGTTTACAAAAATATCATTTTCGTTTGTTTTTTTTTTTCTCTTTTTTTTTATAGACCCAGAAAGTGACATTACATTAATTTTCACATCAGATTTCTTAAAGCTTTAGCTTCTGCAGTGTAACAGCAACAATGTCATTAAAAAAGTAAGTCATCCTTTAGGATTGAAAGGCATATCTGTCACCTTTTTCACAATTCCAACACGGAACAATCTGTACAGGCTTGCATATTAAACAAATAAGAGTACAACATTGACAATGGAAAAACAAACAGAACGATTTTTTGGCAAAGCAGGAAGAAAAAAGTGACAAGAGGAAATATTTTAGATTAGATCTGTTTTAAACTGCCATCACTTACAGGTTATGATTGTCCTTCATGATCACGTGACATAGGACAGCAGGAGGCTTCAAGTGCTGGAAGCGTCTGTTCACGCTTTGTTTGCATCAATAAAAATCCTTGGCCAACACTTTGCTACAACTTTGCTGAAACATTGTAAGAACATTTCAGCTGTTTTCAAACAGAAAGCTATCTGCAAAATTAGTTGTCAGTCATCTAAAGTACATCAGGCAAAATCATTGCAAGTGCCCCTTGTTTATGATTCGGTCTCCATAGGCTATTTATTGCAGTTGGAAGTATAGTAGTTCCAAGGACATACTTTGGTTTGTCATTTTGGAGGCCAGATTCATTCCGTCAGTATTTAAAATGAATTTCCCGACAGTAAAAAAAAAACAAAAAAACAAACTCCAAATATGTTATATGGACCTGGCACTTTTGACTTTTTGCTACCAATTAGATCACACAAAGACAATGAAATGCAATAGAAACGAAATCAAACTCCAAAAGAAAGATGAAAGATAGTAATGAAGTGTACACAGACAGCCTGTTTCCTCTGACTGGACTGCATCGTTTCGACTATTTGCTCCATGAGCAGAATGTCTCCCAACCCTCCGTTCCCTCCTATACAACAGTGAAGAAATTATTCAGTAACTAAGGTCGCCTAAATCATGCCTGTCCCCAAAACAAACATATTTCATTTAAAAAAATAACACAATCAAGAGCAATAAAGAGGAATAGAGCTCTCTCTTCATTTATATTATATTTACATTTGTTGTTTTTAATATATATTTATATATTTATATATTTACACACATCAAATAAATCAATTGTACAACTATACACCTGAATGAGAATATAAGCAAGAGGTACAGAAGTGTATGGCTTGACTGGAAAAATCATTCCTTTTGTTTTGTCTTGTGTTTTTTGTTTGCTCATAAACGGACTTATTAATATATTGACATAATCATTAGCGCCAAAACAATGAGAAAAGAACAATAAAAAATCCCTGGTATTGTCAAAAGAGGTTATTAGACTGTACAACACATGAGAGTATCATTCAATTTAGAACACCAGTTAGGCCTCTAATCTCCAGGTTAACACCCATTCCTGTTTTGTTTTTTTTGTGGCTGATCTCTACATACACACATGGTTGTTCACATATTTGCATAAAGCAAAAAAAATACCCTCTCATTCACACCTCCTCTCACGCAAACACAAACAGATCATACCACACCTCAAAGAAACAGTGTATTTGGTCCTGCTGGGATATTTAAAAGTCCTGGTGACATCAATTTGACTTGATTAACCAGTGAAGAGCTTTCCAAAAGAACCTTCCGCAAATCCAAAATTTCACTCAGTGTTTTGCACCTCCAATCCACGTCTGTCAGTCTAAATATCCTACTCTGAAAAAAATCCAGTGTCTTTTTCATTAATAGATACAAAAATATTCCATGTCTGTGGAGCCTTCATAGAGTGATCACCACGATTGGTCCTCCCCACAATCCATTTGATAATATACTGTTTCTCTAAGAGTGGAGATAAAAGTGGCTGCAGAAACCCATAGCTGTGGGTTAAACTCACTTTTTACGTCATGCTAGTTTTGTCTGGCCTGATTGTCAGCCATTTCTTGTATCTCACGATTTCAGTAGTGCATTCAGCCATTTTCAAACGTTAGCAGATGATCGACTCTCCCTCTGCCGTCACCAGCTGGCCACTGGTGGGGTCGTAAGTTCCAGCCAGGTAGTACAGATCTTGACTGTTGCTGTTTGGTTTCCTGATATGGCTCAGGCGCTCATATTCAGCTCTGCTTACCACCTGGCACTTATGGGAGATGGTTTGGACGTCATTTTCGTCCTCATGGCAACTTTGGTAAAGGGCATGCTGTGAAGAGAGAGGAAAAGAAGTTTAAAAGTCTACCTTAAGTCAAACAAAATCAAACAAGACTTCTGGTCACTACTGTACCTTCCCATCCCGGTGCCTTTTTCCAAGCTTGGTCTCCTCAGGGTGGTAGAACCACTTTACCTTGACTACCATGTTGCTGGACCAGGATTCCCACAGACTCTCAATGCGACCAATAAAGGGGAGGTGGGGTCGACCAGCAGAGAGGAACACCGCACAGTCTCCAACTCGGACGGTGTCTTTCCCCCGAACGATGGCCTTGTAGAAGAGCTTTCGGGCTTTTCCTTTCAAACCCCGTCTCTGATGACAAGAAAGTAAAGTTTAAGGGACATTTTCCCCAACTAAAATCATTTTGGATTGGGATTAAAACAGTAACATCAGAAGAGGAAATTACCTGAGTTGGGTTCCCAGACCACCTCCACAGCTGCCGTCCTGGCATGAACGAGGATGAGTTTGGTGGACCCTCTGAAGATGGTAACTTCTGTTTTTTAGGGAAGTCTTTGGAAGATTTGGACTGTACTACAGAGGATGAGTTGTTGGCAATATCCTTTCTCCTTGGAGGTTTTCCTGTACTATTATTTACTGCAGCCTTTGAATTAGGGATAGTTATAGTTTTGGCTCCGAAAGTGTGTCGTGGTGGGGCGGTGGGAGGTTCAGGATGCTGCTGTTGTTGAAGCAATGTGTGATGAGAAGAAAGACAACCCTGAAGCAGAAGCCGTGATGCCTCTTCTTCATCTGAACTGTAGGACGAGTCATTGTCAGACGAGCAGATGCTAGAGCTGGACGAGCCCGAACTAGAGGCGCTGGAGGACCCCGAGGACGACGACGAAACAGAAAGACGAGACAGAAAGCGTCCAGTGGTGCGCATGTCTGCCCTTCTGACATCTTCATCCTCGTCTTCATCTTCATCCATATCTGAATAGGAGCTTAGGCAGTCGCTGTGGCAGTTTGGCCCATAATCTGTATATTCACTAAGCCCAAGACCCTGAGGGTGCTTCCGCATGTCTGATGAACCTTTGAGAATATGGCAACTGTTCCTTTTGGCATCTTTGACGAGAAGAACGGACTGGGAGTAGCCCATTGTTGAGGTCAGTTCTCCTATTCCTTTGGCTCCGAAGCCCTTTTCCAGTCGCCCACCTCTTTGTACCTCTGGGTTCCCAAGAAGCAACAATGCTTTTCCATTCTTAGTCTTGGGGGACGTTACCCCTTCATGGTCCAGTTTGACGAGAAATTCCTTCCTGTCTCCTATCTTTCTACCACGTAAGCCAGAGACGCCCTTCTGACTAAGAGGCAGACCTGTTGCCAACTGCTGATTTCCAAAGGAAGTGCAACCATTAGCAATGCTGCTGAAGGAGTCCACCTCAAAGGAAGTGCTGAAGATGCCTTTGGCTGGAGTGGTCATGGTGGAGCTAAGTAAGGGGAACATGTCTGACTCCTTTCCTCGCAGAGCTTTCTTCGTTAACCCATTAAACTGGAACAAATCCATGGAGGGTTTCCTCCTGGACATGGTGGCAACTGGCCAGCCAAGAAGAGGGGAAGCGGTTCCAGTCACATTCACAGACACACAGCTCTTTGATGATGCATTGACAGATTTTGGCCTTCCTGTTGAGGAAGATAAACAAAGGTATTGCTATGGGGATGTAGGAAAACAACCCTGCCATCAATGTGAACTTATTTGCATTTTCCAAGCTTCCCTTGCTACGATACTACCCTCAGCCCCTCAGAGAAAACAGATACAAACAAATATGCCTGACAGTGGAACATCTAATGACTCCATGTTGTTTGTTGTATTTTTGATAACATCTACTGAATTGGAGCTGTTAGACCGGTAGTTCAGGGCTCTATAGTTAAGTGGAGTTCAACCTTGGCGCCAGTTTCCCTCATCTACTTGTTCAGTTAAACACATTTCATTCCATTAGTCAACCAAAGCCAGATTTCATCAGTCCTCCTGATGTGTTAATTGCACAGGTTCGTTAAAGTAATGTAGGCAAATGCTTTTTTCTTCAAATGCGTTAAAACGGATGATTCTACTTTACATCTGATAAGGCTCTTGACAAACATTAAATAAACCATTTGGTGGGTGCTTCAGTTCCCAGAACAAGAACCAGGAAGGGTAGTGAAGCATATTTGTAGGGACAAACAGATTGAGAAACATCTACCCAACAAGTTTCCCTGACAGACCTTGTGATAAATGTGTAAATTACTAAATTATGAAGACCTGTAGTGGAATCTTGTTTGATAGATATTTCTCAATGTGTCTCTTTGAAACAACACGTTTTACCTCTTTGTTGCAGGTTAAAAGCAACACCTAGGGGATCATCTTAGATGATGCAAAGAGCATTGATTTTAAAACGTGTAATGTAACCCAAAATTATTTTAATCCAATCAATGTGAAATTTGGAAGGCCATGAGAGTGTGGAGGATGCAGCTGTCATCACGCACCTGGCTTGGCTTTAACAACATTCTTCCTGGGCTCTGTGTTAGCAGAATGCTCTGAGGACACATCAGCCTGCTGAGTTATCTTCTCTTGAGTGGAGGTCTTCCTCCTGCGGCACCTAGGTGAGACCAGGTGAGCTGGTGATGGCTCTGCACCTGCAGTACATCAACAATGCCACAGGCTTAATGACACGCACAGAAACTTGGCACACTGTCTAACATTGTTAACATGAGACTCTTTGCTTGTATTGGAGATGAAATGTATTTATCTGCAGAAACATACAGTGGATTTGGTAGCCTGGCGGAAGCAGACGAATGCTTGAAAGAGAAATCCATCCCCGGTCTCCATCGTCAAACTCTACCATGACACTGCCCTCCTTCTGTTCCTCACCTGGACCTCCTGTGGAAGACACAAATGTATAGCTCTAAAGAGAATGCATATTATTGTATTTGTGTTTGAAAAATTGCTAAAATTAAATGTTTAACTTTTATTCTAAGTTTGGGACTAATTTAAACATCCATCCATGAGCTCTTAAAAAATAATAAGTTGACTATCTGAGCCTTTAAGCTGCAGTGTATAATTTCTTCAGCATTAATTGTGACATTAAATCTTACAACTGCAATCGACTAACTTGATTTCTAATTGTGCCTTTTTTCTCTGAATTGCTACATTATATCGAAAACATATGAATTTACATCTCACAATGTGAATTTATATCTGATATATTTCAAAGAGTCAATATTTTTACAATGAACTTGTGCAATGGGCTTCTATATAAAACAGCTTTCATTTACATATAGGATTTATATATAGTATACTGGTAAACCCTACATTATGGGGAGGCAAAGATGCCAATATCCAAAATCATTGGCCTTGTGGGGACATTTTTGGTCTTCTTTCAGGAAATCCGCTTATAAATCATAATAAATTATGTTTTTTGAAAATGTAAAAAATGCAGAAGGTTTTCTGTGATGGGTAGGTTTAGGGGAATTAAATATACATTTTGTACAGTATATAATTGTGTGTGAGAGAGAGAACGAGAGAGAGAATGATCTCACCTCTACGGACATATCCAGGATACAAACAGCGCGATCGTTCACTCCAGTAAGCGCACACTCTTGTTCCAGCCGTCAGAGTTTCCACTGTCTCCGGCTGCACATCTAAAACCTGAAACACATGGATGACTTGAAAAATTAACCTACATATCTGGCAGACGTGCAGCTTATCAAGCATAACAAGTTGATTTAGTTGAAGAATACGAGACATCTACTTTGCAAAAAGCATGGATATCTTTGAAGCCTTCCCTTAAGGCAATTACAACCATGGGTATACCTTTCTCAAGAAACGCTGTTTGTTGATTTTGGTCTCTTTGGTCTCAACGAGAATAAAAAGAGACAAAATCAGCATTGCTGAATGGAGAGTCTGCTTTGAAATAATGAAATAAAAGAGCAGAGAGGTGAAAAAGGCCTAAATCGATGACTTTATAAAGAGGCTGCCAGCTCCCCTCCCACTACATAGAGCACATGCACAGAGGGCTCTTTTAGGACCAGTTCAAACGGGTCTGCTGTAGATACAGCCCTTTTGACAGACAGAGCAAACGGGGAGCCGAGGAGTTTTTGGCCAGGATATGCACTAAGCAGGCAATGGTGTTGGAAGCAAAACAACTGATAAGAACTCTTAAAAGCAGCATAGGAAAGAGGAGGTATCACTAAAACGGGGGGCTAATGCTAGTGTCTCCATGAAATCTGACTTTTAAAAAAAAGGCATTTGTAGGTTTATTCCCCCCAAAAGTATACAAGTATAAATGGTAGTTTCTATCAATATACTGCTATTTCTTTTTTTATAATGTACTATCTAGCCCACTATGGCAATGTTGTTTCAACCAATGGGATACGTTTGGGGCATGACTATCTGTTTATCCAACCAATGACAATTTTGCAATTCGTTTGGTGTATAAATTAAGCACTCCATCTACAAGTCCATGGTGCAATATGATGAGAGAAATTACACTTGATATATAAGTATATTTCTTATATTCAAATTGATCATTGTAACTAAGTCTCAGCTTGATTTTAGCCATTTTATAATTGATTGGATTGTGACGAGTGGGATTTTTACACCAAAATGGATCCAGAAAAAAAGTGAGTTTGCATTAAGGATCACATTCTTTCATATTGACTTAAATTTACGTAAACCTGAGCTGTGTTCGCTTTTTAATTCCACACTAGTTCCAGTAAAGCTGATTCACAAATATACACACAGGAATAATGCTGCAGGCTTATGGGTGAGTCCAATTTGTTGGAGTAGAGTGTAGCGTTCAATGTCAAAGCCTTTACTGTGCTAGCCTTCAGTGAGAATATAGTGCTCGCTCTCTCTGTCTTTCTATTCTCCCACAACTATGCACAATCACACCCAACACTGACACAAATGACAACCTCCTCTCTTTGTTTTGCATTTTGTGAACAATCAAGAGCTTTTTGTGTTGCAGCTTGTGGATTGTATCAAGAAGAGATATCGTCAGATGTTTTGTGTACTCAACAGAATTTGAGAGTTGCATAGAGCATGCTCATTAATATGTATTTGAGGGAGACTGGGGACGGGTGTGTAGAGTTTGCGATAGGCGGTCCCTAGGCAGCGAGACACTTTTTTTCCAGCCCATGATACCGAGAGAGATGAATGAGAGAAGTAACGCATATAATGTATTCAAATGAATGCATGCTGACAAAGAGCTGTTGGTTTACGGTGTGTAATCAGCTCCCTTTTTCCCCGTCGGCTTAGATAAACTATGCGTGTAAGTGCAACCCGCAGTTCAGCCCCAAAGATGTTCCTAAATAAGATAAATAAATAAAAAAAGGGGATAAAAACACGCTATTCTGTACATCCTCCTGAGGGGCCACGCAGAACTAACAAGAAACAGCTATATACAGTCACAATGTGAAACTGTATATGTAGGAATGTAGTGGACTGCTGGACCGCATTAAGAGCAGCTAAGCTAGTACTGCTTAAAGAAAACAACAACCAGTCTATATTAGCAATATATAAGAGTTCCTAGGGTTGTCTACCCTCCTCTATCACAACCAGATGCTGAAATGTTCCTTTACTGATGAATTTGTGCTCAATGAGATAAGAAATGAGCAAATAAAAGACGCAAACGCAAAAGAATGCCTAAAGTTGGTTTGGAGTCCTTCACACACAGATCATAGCAGTTTACACGCTTCATGGCTAAGTAACTGCTTATCGGAACACACTCACACACACACAACCCCAGATGCTATGTTCCTAACTGCTTTAGCAGAGAAAGTCAGAGCTGGGATGGATCCAGCTTTGAGCTGATGGGGCTCTAGGGGAGAACAAGGGGTCTGTGAGAGCCTGCGAGGGTGGCCTGAAGGGCTGGTTCAGTCCGAGGCCTGTGTGGAGAGAGTCATGGGGGAATGAGTCCCCTGAAAAAGCTTTTTAAAGGGTCTCACCGCTTCCTGAAGCAGCTGCTCCAGAGAGTAGATCCTCGGTCTGTTTCCACGCTCTCCCTCAACGACAACACTATAGCTGAAGAGACAAAAATTCAGAACTGTAATTATCATCTCTTCATCAATGAATAGATCTATACATTTCATACTACTAATGTTGAAAATACAGGGTTGTTGTCTTACATATCAGGCAGGTCCAGTGTATGTACATAGGCAGCATACAGTAACTCGTCCTCCTTTGAGATTAACACTTTCAATCCATCCTTCAGGATTTCTTTGGTGAGAATGCAGTTGGGCAGGGCTGGTTGTGACAAAGACAGATTAAAGTGAGAGGTCATTCTCCTTTTACCACATGCAGGAGTACAACAGCATTATCTGTTTGTATATTTCTTACCCGGCAATGCACAGCCCATCGGCTCTGGTTCCTCCTCCTCTTCCTCTTCATCTTCCTCTCCTTCTGAGAAGCTGCTGTCGTCATCCATCCGGAATCCCTCATCGGCAGCAAAGCTCTCCAGCAAACGACTGACTGCTCGCCCCTTAGCCTGCCAACAGTCACGAAACGGCATGTGAGTCTCACACACATACACACACTCACCCACCCTTAATGGCCCCGGAGAGAGTGATTCAGGGCTCCAACATTCATTCAAACTCCCATACAAATATATCATAACCTCTCGCACCTTAACAGGTCCAATCTTGTGCACAGCCCTTGGTACTTAACATTGCTCAAAAAGCTGTCAAATATTAATGTGATGGAGGTTTCGTCACTTGGGGTGATGCTGTTCGGTTTTCATTTTACAAGTGTGTCTCTAGGGCGAGGCCCAGGTGAAGAATGATGCGTGTCTTTGTTCTCTATCGCACTCTTTGAGCAAAGCGGGAATTCTCCCCGCCTGCTGATTAGGCAGGCAAAGTCCCCTCGCATGCCTCACCGATGACCTCACAAAGCGCCGGCAGTGACAGCCTTGACACCTACGGTGTAAATCCTTTCAAAACTATTGACTGTTTTATTTAGAAAATGCATGATTCAGCCCGTGAATTAGCAGGCGGATCCCGTCTTATCTTTATTGTGAGTAGATTTACGAGAGCCCCTGACAGGACAAACCACACGAGAATTGCACAATCCCTCTTGGAGGGATGACTTTTTATGGGTGCCAAGAGGGCAAGGTAGACAGATCTACGCCACTAGGGGCTAATTTGCTATGTGGCGCCACAGCCTCGCTAGATTACACCGACGTTCAGCACAACTCTAATGAATGAGCTCAAAAGTTCCTTGAATTCCTGGTCACCAGTATACATTTTATTTCGGAAGCGACCACGTTAGCCATCCAATTTTCATGGAAACTGAGAGGAATCATTCCATACCTGCTTGTTTTTGTTTCGTCTGCTCCAAGTGATGTCATCACACTGAGACGACAGTGCTTCTAACCAACAGCTTTTCCTCTGAAACAGCCATGTCAGCACTGTTAGAGCTTGTTTGAAGCCAGTTAACCAAAGTATTCCAACGAAACTAGCTGATACCTTGCCAAAAAGCACTGCACTCTTCCTGGTGGTGATTTCTCGTGGAGTAGGCAAGGTCTTGAGAAGGCTAGTGTGGTCAAAGGTGTTCTCCCTTGACCCCTCTCTCCACTTAGAGCCAGTCAATCTCCTTTCCTCCTCCAGTTCTGAGTGGTTATGGTCAGCACTGACCAGGGCTTGCCTACAGGGGGCCTTCCTTCTCTTCACCTCTTCTTTAGCGATGGACACATTCAAAGACCCTGGAGGGAAGACAAAAAAAAGATATTTAAGAGTAACAGTGAACTAAGGTGATATCTGTGACTGTCTAATTAATTAAGGTTAATGTAACATTTACCGTATCCCTGTCTTTCTGTTTTGTTCTTGGCTTTCTGATTGGCCTCAAGCTTCATGATGGAGCATTGTAAAGGACGGCCGACTCCAGACAGTTGCTCTTTAGATGATAGATTCTTGAAGCCCTCTGCCCCTTCCTCGCTGTTGTAGATGCCGTCATCTTCCTCCTCTGTGAAAATGATGGATCGATTGAATGCATTGACATCTTGACTGGACCACAGTTCACAGCAGGCATCTGAATCGGTCATGGTAATGGTGAATGCAGCCTGACGATTCCTCTCACTGTATGATTTGTTCGATATTTAGCATGATGAAGTTCATGAAATGGGTGCCAACTGTGACTGTAACTGTCAACGTTCACAGGAACTGTGGCAGTCAGAAAAGTCTAGTCACTGACAGGTTTGACCACCAAACCTTTGCTTCCCACACGTATCTGACTCTTGCTTACAGCCACACATGCATTACCATTCCAAGTTTGGAGTCACTATTTAAAATAGAAAATAAAAAAAATCGGTTCTTTGAAATTTCTAATGAATTTTGGGATACTGCCCACAATTTGCTGGATGGAAACACCTAGGTGAAAATAAAATGTACAACATTCTCCGAAACTTACGTATTCAGTAAGAATGCGTTTGAAGTGATTTATTTAATTTTATGAGACACTGTAATTTCCCCACAGAGCTGTTACTGTTTAAAATTCAAACTAATCAAAAATAAAGCAAAAATAAAATATAAATAAGATTAAAAAACTTTAAAATGTTGCCTTCACAACTAAATGAAATATGTTAAGTGCTAAAATTATTAACACTAAAACTTGAAATGACTAAAATAAAAAATATTTCCCAATACATACAGCTTCCATTTCTATTTCTACTGCATAACATAGGTTCACAAGTTCATAACATGGATGGAAAAAGCTCTTGACACCAGGCATTCTAGCTGTCAGTTTATTAAGACATTCAGATAAAGTTACATGTCATGCTTTCTGCGGCACTGCTTTAGTTTTTTGTATTTTGAACTGTATTTTTGATGACTTTTGAATTTGAATTTCTTACAAAAACACACAAATGTCTTTGTGATTACCAATTTTTGAGCAGTAGCGTACGCACACCAAGTCATCCTCGCATGCTTGGGTGTCACAGATATGTATTGGCAGATGCCGTCTGTGGGCTATGTGTCTCGCATAGAGCGGAGATGGCACGGTGGCAAGCAGTGTCGGGTGTCAACACAGTGCTGACACACTTGTCACTTACAAGGCGCTCGTCAACACTCTCGCAAGCTCGTGAAATGTGAAAAGGATAACTTTCAGGGCAATTAACAGAGCGGCAACAACATCGCCTAGCTCGACCGCAGGCGTAGCTCACATTAGCGGTCATTACTGCCATGATTTCATCTTCACTTTCACTTACAGAGGTGTGTTTGCAGGGAGTGTGGACTAAAACATGTAGTGGAACTGGGGCGGTGGAGGTAGAGTACAACTCGTTTCCATATAGGTGTGGCATTCTGAACTCAGCATGATGCAGGCTAGCATTACCGCTCGGGTTTTGCCCAATGCATGCCTGTGGAGGCATCATTAATTTTTTTTAACGCCATTACAGTCGAGCAGGGAAACGAGAGTGTCCGCTGATCGTCATGCTGGAATGTATCTCTCTCGGCCCATAACTCACCTGAGTTGCTGTCGGAGGGAGCGATGCCCTTCTCTGTAGCTTCTTGCTTGCTATCGGTCACAGCCGTATCGCACATCAGCTGCTGAGTTCGGGTTGGCAGGGGTGAGGAGCTCAGGATGGCCTTTGACTTCACACCTCTTCTCATAGTCCGCTTCCCATCGGATCCCTGGTGGACTGCTGTCCTGCTGCCTGCTGGGATAGAGCAAATGTACTTCACATTTCTAAATAATCTACCGTAATCTAAATATGAATGTAATTAAAAGTCATGTGTCACATATAGTCTTTATAATGTTTACCTGTGTCACTGTTCTCTCCAGTTTTGTTACAATCTCGGGACAGATGTTCCGTAAGAGTACTCTGCATTTTGGCCTCTCTGTGACACAACAGGTTCACCAGTCTCGATCCACGCTTAACTTTGGCTTTCTGCTTCAGCTGTGAGCAAGCTTTCTGCTTAAACTTAGTGCTCAGCAGTCTTGGCCTGCCTCTTGGCCTACAGTGAGCCTTCATCTGAAAAAGAGAGAGGAAAATAATGTAACTATTAATGTCAATATTTGTGTTGCATTTTTATAATGGTTGCAAGGCAGCACTGTATCAATGTTCCTCAACAGATTCTCCTCTAATTTTTTCTTTTTTTTGGGTCATTGCATAACAATATACTATTGATGTTTCTCTCTTTCACTTCATCTTTATTAATATGATTAAATGTTATTTATTAAATATAAACTGATGCAACAATTTATAATAATGAAAATCATTTTCAAACTCTAATTGATAGTGATAACTTAATTCTGATATTGTTATACAAAATTGTGATGGGTCTTCCATTTTACCATGTATTTAGCCATGTGTGTGAGAACAAAAAACATTTGTGATTGACACCAAACAGTGTTTAGTGTCATGCAGAGATGTATAAAGTACAAGAAACCCGGACTTGAGTAAAAGTACAAGTGCTCTATCAAAAAAGTGACTTGAGTAGAAGTTGAAGTGCTCTTCAAGCACCACACTTAAGTAGAAGTACTAAAGTATTCAACATTTTTTGTACTAAGGTAATGCAAGTATTTTATTTTAAAATTCACTACTTAAGTACTAATGTAATTATTAAAGAAAGCAGTCAAAAGCAGTCAAATAAGGCGCTTTGGCGGGATACAAATTTGTTTTGGCGGCCACCAAAAAAAATTTCATTGCAGGACAACCCCTGCATTAGTAGTCAATGTGTGTGTCAATCAGTACCATTACCCTATACAACTGGCGTGTGATTTAGGCAGCATGAAAGACAACTTGCAACAAATGATTATTAATTAATTTCATCGAAAATATCTACTGAAATAAAAGTAGAAATATGAGGAAAAAAACAATACTCTAGTAGAGTACAGATACAGCATTTTAGTACTTAAGTAGTTCTACTTCGTTACTATACATCTCTGATGTCATGACAACAGAAATGTGTAAGATGACATTAAAAAATAAAATAATTTGATTTACACAAAGAATGTTCCAAATTTTACTCTGAACAATGACATGATTGTCATATTTACTGGTCTTGTTTTCTTGCATTTATTTGAATGCTGAATATTTCTTTTGTACATGTATTTAACCGTCTGACAAAAAACAAACAAAACAAAAACACAAGAATGTTTGGCCTTTAAAATCAAACCAATAATGATGTCAGCTGTGATAATTGCGAATCATTGTGAATTGGTCTCGTCTTGCATTTAGTTGAATGATAAATAGGGATGGGTCTTTCCTTTCTTCCAAATATTTAACAGAAAACAAACTAAAACGAACACTGTTCAGCAGCATCATGACACGGCAAACTTTAAGGAGACATTTTAGAAGTGATTAGCTACGAACCTGTGTGCTAGAGAGATGGTGGTAAGGGCTACTGGTCATCCTCCTCTTCTTCCTCTTCCTGTCTCCGCCTCCAGTCAAGTCCTCCACTGTAAGCAGACCCGGCCCCGCCCCCGCTCCAGCCGACCTGTCCATCACAACAGAGAGGTATTCATGAGGGGAGAGAAGAACGAAGGATGAAAAGGAGAGATCAGAGGCGAGCGGAGGGCTTGCCTTCCCTCTCTGTGGCTCTCTAATGACCTTCTTTTCAGGCTTTGATGAATGGAGAGGCAGGGGCTTGGTTCCCCGCTGCACGCTTGAAAAATTGGGATCTGACGCCAAACCGAGAAATATCTGAGAGAAGTGCTGGTAAAGCAACCTCCCACTCATAATTTTGTTTGTTCTTTTTTTCCTCGCTCTCCCTCGTCTCGGTCTCTCCGTCTCTGCTTACTTCTTTTCCATTCTGTGCCAATGGTTTCAGGGCTGTGAATTCCAGCATTACATTAATAAAAAAAACCCTTCTCTGTCTTATTACCATATCAATGCATCTGTTCCTGCTCAAAGCAGTACAATGCATAGGCCTTCAGGAGGGCAACGAGAGAGTGAGTGTGTGTGTGTGTGTAGCCAACCATCTAGTAGACCTATTACACTGAAATAAGGCTCATACACTCGCTCTGCGGCGATCGGCCTCTCGTTTTGCAGTGTGTAAGCATCAGTGTTTTTACTCCTGAGAAACAGACAGCTACTTCAAACTCGCCACAGGCTGCCTTAGTCTACGGTCGGGGCGGGGGGTGGCGGCACAGACATCAGCTGGCCCGTCATTCACCAGGATGATTGGCAGGTGAGTGTCAGAAGCCGTGTCGGCATGTGGTTGGTGAATTCCAGCCTCCCTTCTGTGTCCTAGCGACAGCTATAGTCAGTTACTCCCAAAGCGACCACGAATCACGACATGAAGACATTTTTAATTTTTCTTGTTAATCGAGGTGCCACATCACCAACTTGACCTCGTGATTTCTGCTGTGCTGGATGCGGGACTGTTTACCAGCATGCACAGCGACATGCATAAATCAATTACCGCCTCATTGTTTACGTTGCTTAATGTTAAATCCATTTTGTGCAACACCGTTGTTGTGTTTCTTTAACGAGAGAGAGGAATTTTCCAGTGTATAGAGTGGTGTGATGCCAATTACTTTCCAGTGTATATTTTATTATAGTGTTTCCAGTGTTTTTATTTTTTTATGTTTGGTACTGCAGTGGTTGTATTCGTGAGCCCAAAACAAATTTTCACATCGGGACAAAGTATACCAAACTTAACCTAACCTAACCTAACTTATGGTTAGGGTTGGGTATCGAGAATCGAGTATCGATTGGAACCGGGGCTAAATTTTCGTTTTTCCCGGAATCGTTCAAAAGTTAAAATTTCGATTCCTAGTTTCGATATTCACAGTCCGCCGAGCGGAAGAAGAAACCGTTGAACAACACCAATGAAGAAGCGTCTAAACGGAAGTGGTGGCATAACCGCGCAAGTCGAACATGAGTAGCTTACGTCGGCGGCCCCAAGTGTGGCTTCACTTTTCTAAAAATAACGAAATCTCGGCAAAATGTACAATTTGTGACAGAAGGAGTATTTCCTTCAGAAAGACCGTTGGTTAGCAAGGTTAGCTAAACTTTTTTGACCCTGCTTCTTAAAAGAATCGGAATCGAGAATCTTTAGGAACCGGAATCGAAACAAGGAATCGGAATCGGAATCAGAATCGTTCAAATTCAAACGATAGCCAACCCTACTTATGGTCATAATGTGATGGGTATAATGTTAAATGCCATATTTGCAAGTTTGAAAACCTTAATTTTCCATTATACAAGTGTCACAAGGTTTTTCCCTATTTCCCTATTTTTTCCCAATTTCCCTATTCTGCAGAAATCCTCATTTTTAAAATACTGCTCATGGCAACTTCTCCTAATTTAGACACGAGGAGCAAAAAAAAAAAAAAAAAAGTGGACCAAATTTGCACTGAGCATCTCAACTAGGTTGAACATTTACTTGTGCGACCCATTAAAGTGCAGCTCTGGCCAAATTCATCTGCACATAACTGATCTGGCACTGCCCACTGGGTCTCACATGGATAATTGGTCATTAATAATTGATATAATAATAATTGATTAATGAATAATGAAATACTGAATAATTTGTTCAGCTGAACAGCACAAGTTTGTTCATGCTTTTGGAGTATTTGGCTTTCCATGCACCTCATAACTAAATCAAAAAGGCTCGCGTGAAGATGAAGAAGATTACTTTTGGGATGCATATGCAAGGGTCTAAGCGAAATAAATACATGTGGTTTTTCAGGAATTACCCATTTAGAAGAAGACCTGGCAGAAAGGAATGATACAAAATATATATGCACATGCACAAAGACATTCACATAGACACACATTCATGTACTGTACACTTTCTCCACACAAGCCCAGCACTGGCTGCGTTGTTTTCCACTCTTCCTTTCAGCTGTCTGAACACTGGCTGTCTGCCCTTTACTCAGGCCGGTGCTGTCAGAAAGAATCAGTGTCCCCACTACATAAACCCTGGCCCTCATCCTCAATACAAAGAGCCCCTGCTTTAGCTGGAGATGGAGGGAGGATACCCGCAGAGACAGAGAGGCACGGATACATGACCAGATGGGTGGAAAAAACATGGACCATGCTCTAAAAAACCTCAGTAGAAGAGTCATTCAGATTTGTAGATGGCAACTTTCTCAGGGTGTATTATAAGTTTAGAAATAAAGACCGGGTTCTCTGGAGTAATATAAAAAATTATAACAGGCACCACTGTTGCGCACCAAGCTTGACAGAATACAATTTTCAAGCTTGATTTTTTTTTTTTCAAACAGAATTCAAGCTTGAATTTTTCTTATTATTATCAATGTTGAATACAGTTGTGCTGCTTAGTATTTTTGTAAAAATTGTGTAGCATTTTTTTCTGAATTATTTGATGAACAGAAAGTTTAAAAGAACATTTACTTAAAATTGAAATTGTGTAAAAATGCAAACGTCTGTACTGATCAAATCAAAAAAGTAAAATGAAAAATGCTAAAAATGCTTTTTTTTAAATGCTAAAAAAGTAATGACCCCACGATTCTGACCTGTAGAGTGTCTATATAAATGTATTAAATATCAAATAAATATATGACTTATTTGTGTAATTAAACGTATTATGGACATTAGTACCACTATCAGAAAAGCCAGGGTACACCAAAGCATCACTAAACAGAAAGAGAAGCAGCCAAAGATCAATGTGGACACAAATGAGTATGACTGATGTAGTGAAATGAAAGTAAGAACAGAGAGGGAGGGTTAGCGAGAGAGAGAAATCCAGAGGGAGTCAGTCGACCGACCGGAGCTGGATCAATGGACACTAACCTCTATCGACTGCCACCACATGCGACGTGAACATCCCCATCTACACATCTGCAATTAGGCATCTGATAATTTCATCCAAAAACATCATATTACCCACCACAATCCCCATTCCAATCCACCGCCTTCAAATCACACCTGGAGATTCAATATTGTTTTTCGGGAGAAGATGCAACAAGCACAACAGACCTGAGGGGAACTGGAGGAAAAATCCTAAAGCACAAAAGCATTACCAAGAGTAAACTGTTCAGCTCTGAACAGAGTTGAGTGCACTTCCCTTTCTCCTCCTCATGGCACAAGTACATCTATGTAAAGATCCTCAACCACAAACTCATTAAGAGCCTTAATGAAGGCACAGTTTTTGTCAAAACAGAGAATAAAGCTTCGGTCTGCCGTAGAGTGGTTCAGCGAATCACTGATTCGCTGCTTCTGCATTTAAATGCCACAGAGTCTCCAAAACCCCCGAGGCCCGGGAGACCAGGTAACCGTGGAAACCTGATTAGTAACCCGACACCTGGTCCGAGGCAGGGTTTGGTGTGTGGTTGCTTCAGCTTGATGAGGACTGTGGCATGGGCGACTATTAAAGAGCAGAGCTGACAGCCCCCCGCCCTACCCTCCTCTCTGCCTGTCGCCACCCATAGGCGACCTTCTGACCTCCTGACCCCAAAAGGCCTCTCTAGTCCTTGTGTCAACTCCATGTCACATTCCTGCTGTTGAGAGAGTGTGTGTGCTTGAGCGAGTATGCTGGTAGGAGAATTCACAGTCCTCTAATTACAAACCCCTTCCCCTCAGAGAGGTCAGGATTACACAGTAATGCTATTCAGGGAAGGGCATTGATTAGCAAGACACAATCATCAAGCTGAGAGAGAGAGAGAGAGAGAGAGAGAGAGAGAGAGAGGAGAAGACAGCAGAAAACAGCAGGAGAAAACGGTCATGTGTGTGTGTGTGTGTATTTCTGCCATGGTCCCCTTCACAGTCCAATAATCAAATTCTAGCATTCTCTCTGAAAAAGATGCTGAATGTTGCTATTATTTACCATTGAAACCCTCAATCATTCTGGCAAGTGAATATATATCGGCAATAAGAGCAGCTGTTTTATCATATGCAGGAAACCGTCTGACAACCACAAAATGGCCAAATAGGCTCTGTTTTCATTTTAAACTGTATGTTTTGTCAATTTAAATCCAACAAACTTGCTTAAAAAGTGCACATATGCTATTTTTCTACTTGTTCAAATGAATATCACCTTATTTATTTGACAACATTTACACATTTTTAAGTGTCCGAATATATTTTGTGGCTAACGCGTACACTACTGTTGAAGCATGTGGGGTCTGTGAGATTTTTGCAAAAAGTCTCTGATGCTCAACAAGGCTGCATTTATTTGATCAATACAGTAAAAAAAGTAATACTGTTAAATATTGTAATTTAAAATAACTTTGATAGCAATTATTTTACAGTCCTGTAACGTATTGTAGTTACCTTATATTAACCAGTACTTTCTCAGGTAAGTACACTGTCTTTAGTGTCATGTTTGATCCATTTATTTAATCATTTAAATGATAATTTTGCACAAAAAATATATTTATTCTTAATTATTATCGTTGTCTAATTTGAATTAAATATAAAAAAAAAATTCTAGAAGATAAATATACCTCAGAAGCCACACTGCATAAGACATTATGACTTGTCTTACTGCAGTAGAACTCTAAACAATTTAAAAAAAGAAAATGAAAAGTCTTAAGCAGCAATCTTAAGCAGTGTTGCATCTTTATTTGTTTTAGCATTTTGTTTGTGTTTTTTTTTAAGGTTTTTTTCCTGGAAAGCAAGTCAAAAAAGCCTACTCCCATGGCCTCATGGGATGCTACAGTGTATATCAAAGGAAACTAAGCATATTTGAATACAGGGTTAGCTGTGGTCTGGTCTCCAATCCATGCTCCCATGATACACCATCAACACCCTTAACCTTGTCAAATGACCCCTTTGACCTCAAACAGATTCGGCCAGATGCAGAAGGATGTTGCAAGTACACAAACATATGAAGGGAGTGAAAGACTGAAAGAGCCCACGTACAAATCCAACAATGAATGTTACCACTAAATTCCCCAACAATTCATGCCGTCTGCCATCAAACTGACATAAACCATGATGGGAAAGTCAAACCTTGGCTTTTCTCTGCCATTCCCTAAAGGAACTGGCAAAAAAACAAACAAAAAAAAAAAACTTAATTTTATGACTCGGATACATTTTAGTGCGGGAAGTTGTCATTTGTTTTATTTGGCAGGGGAGGTTTATTAACGACACGGATAAATGTGCGCTGGGTATAGCGTGTGTAATTAAGCTCTAGCTCCTGCTTTTCATTAGCACGCTGCTAATCAACCAGGCTAGTAATAAAATGGGTGGTGTTTTGTTAATCAGGTAGGGTAAACTTGATTTGACCGAGTTTATCAAAACGTCTAAGGCTCGACATAAACAGAGGTGTGTCTCAGGAGAGAACGCTCATCAATCAGAGTGATAACTTAAAGCCCTGACTTTGCGCAGGCAATTGGTCTCCGCGCTTTATCAAATTAATATCGCCGACGCGTCATGGGTTAGAAGGGAGTCGAAACACTTGTAGATAATCAATGGAAGTTGTAAATATGATTAATGACGGCTCTTTGCACTGATTAAGCACTTAGTCTGCCTTGTATGAACTGATAGGAGCCTTCCACACTTATTTACATGCACACACTCAAAAGAGTCGGATTGCACAAGCACGTTCAAAATGAGTTCACTAACGTAATCTATCAAAACATCTCCTATCTAGACTGTTATTAATGCATGTGAAGCGTTTGGCTGCAGGTAAGGAATTGTTTCCTGAGCTAGGCTTAATACTGGTCGCAGTAAAGCTCTAATTTAATCTCAGCTCTCTCTCGCTCTGGAAACTGTGAAAGAGCATTTTCATTATTAACATAAAAGAGCTGTGGAAGAATCGCACTATATTTGCTGCTCGGCAGAATTATATGATTCTAAACACACACATAGGCCTACAACTTATACATTTTTTACCCATTTTATCATCTGCAGATGGAAAATTGCAAGTCTAAAATATTTGTAAAAAATTATAACAGCATAGTTTGAAGTACCAGTAAATTTAATTAAAACACAAACTGGCCCATTTATGATCCTTTCTTCCAGCAAAGCGAGTCAGAAATGTGTCCCTCACAAATACATGGAAACACCAAGCATGAAGAAACAAGTAGAAAGGGAAACACTCACTTGACTTTTTTAGGGGCATCTGTGGGGATAGGGGGTGTGGACTTGCGCTTGCGTGGCCTTCCGGGTCCTCGACGAGCTGGACTGCGTGAGGTCTCTTCTTTCCTGTAAACACACAAACACGCACACACACGGCCTGTCAATCACTCTAATTCACACTAATGATGTTGAATGAAACGAAACACTAAGCCATCCTAATTGTGAGAGTGGACTAGAGGAAAGACTTAAGCACAGCTCAGGCTTATGCAAAGAGGGCTCAGCACACACTGGGTGGTCTCAGCAGAGCGTTGCGAGGGGACAGAGAAAGAGACTGAGCGTGTGCTGGGGGATCGAAGAGAGTTCGATCTCTCCGTGCATGTGTGTAAATGGGTTTTGAAAGGTGTGCGGAGTGCATTTATATGTGGAGGGTGTGTGTTTGTGAAAGTGGTCTGTGGTTCACTCACTGGTGGTCATGTTTTCTCTGAAGCTTGGCAAGCTCTCTCTGTTTTTCCTTGTAGCGCCGCTGCAGTTCTGCCAGCCGCACACGCATCGCTAGCTCCTCCCGGTCGAGCGTTTCCATGGTACCCTTAACAGGACACACCTACACAATGGAATAATCTCCAGTGAGTTTACAGTAAAAATGCCTTTCAAGGTTCTGTATGACCGTTTTTCTTCCATAGGAAGTGAATAGAGATATTGTGAATACCAGAAAAAATATTATAAAATTGGTCCATTTGACTCATGCACTATATTTCAGGATTTCTGGAACCATACAATAGAGTTGTATGAGAAACAAACTGACATTTCTGTCATTAATTACTAAAAATATTATTTGAATTGCAAGTAGAGCTGGACAATTTGGGGAAATAATCTAATTGTCACTACGAATTAAAATGAGACCTTTTTTTTAAAAGCCTCAGGTTTGATGTGCTTATGTGCAGAGCTGCACAAGTTTTGCCAAAAATGTTGCTATTATATCTCAATATGACTATAAAATAATAATAATTATCATTCAAGCTTTAATAGTGGCAGAAAATTGCAGGGACCCCCTAAAGCTTCTCTTTTGCTAATGTTTTAATTGCAAGTTTGGGAAGATGGTGAGTGTTGCATTCATAGTAGTTGGAATGTTAGAGTTCATGTGGAGGAGCATTTACTGTGAACAGAGCGATTCTCTGAGACACCGAGAACGCTGCAACACAGTGCCGCACATCGCCCTGAAACAGTGCATTATATTGAATGAAATCTTTGTGATTTGATAATTGCACACAGCCATATCACGATTTCAGTTTTATTTCATTTAATCATACAGCGCTGACTGCAAGCGTTACGAGATTAGGCATCATGTGTTTAATGCAACAAAAGCGCTAATAAGATTTGAGAGCCACAGTTGAAGGAAAGATTTTCATTCAATACAATTTTTTTTTATTTAGTGAAGTTTTCGTTTTATGTGTTTGAGTGCAACTGCTGACTATAGTATAAACAATGTACAAACAAACAAATGTAAATGAATGAACATGAGTCACATGTACCGGTTCAGGCCGTGGCGTCCACCTGCACTTCCTGCGCAGATTGAGAATTTTGCGGAGGGGTGGGGTTGAGTCTACTGGAAGGGGCGGGGCCAGCTCCAACGCCCGGGCGGCAGCTAGGGTTGCCAAACTCTGAAGGTCAAAGGTCAACATGTCTTCTTCTGCACAAAGTGAGAGGAAACGAAGAGATTAAAAGAGACATCACATTATCTGATCTTATACGACAATGACAGAAATGAGGAAGATCCAGAGAGACATCTGCCTAGGGCAGGGGAGTCCAATCCTGTTCTTGGAAGGCCAACTTCCTGGAGAGTCTTGCTCCAACAAGCCTGCCATGAAGTTTCTAATAATCCTGAAGACCTTGATTAGCTGGTTCAGGTGTATTAAACGAGATTAAGATCAAATTTGAAGATAATTTGAAGGCAAAGTTCAAAACCCAAAGCACAATAGTTCACACAACCAAACGACTGGACCAAAAAACAAAACAAATTTCAAAATACATTCCTTTGTATTCCACAGAAGAAATGTAATGAGTAAATGATGACAGAATGTTCTTTTTTGGCTTTTCCTTGTAATCTTCATCATAGTCTTAGATGCATCAAGATGTAGTCACACGTTTTCTGACCCTTTTCAAACGTTATGAACCCTGTTTACATGTGTATATAGTGGGAATCACTTAAGACAGATGTTAATGCCATGTGTAAACTGAGGCCTCTGTCTCTCCATGTATATTCAAAAGTGACCTAGCAAAACAGACATCCAGTCTGTCCCAGTAGATGCAAGCTGAAAAAAAAAAAAAAAACTGTGAAGGAGCAAAAATAAAAAGAGAGTGGAAGAGAGAGAGAGCGCGAGAAAGAGGAAAGCCTCAAACGGTACAAAGCCGCCTCTAAGCACGCCGCTGTTTCCTGACAGCACTTTGTGCTTTCAGAGGCTGAATGAGCAATGATGATAGCTATTAACCAGAGAGCTTATCTCTGTACATGAGGCTTAGATGCCAGGAGCCATGTTACAGAGAGAAAGAGAGAGAGAGAGGGGAAGAGAGAGAGAGAGAGATGAAGAAGGGCGAATTCTCAACATTTATCACTGTCATTAGGGCAGGCCACATGCTCAGTCTCCACTCAGCCAATGAGGCTTGAATATTCATGACAGCCAAAGCTGGCCTGGGGAGACTGCGAAGACTGCATGAGTGTGTATGTGTGAGCGTCTGTGTCTGTGTTAGCGGGCATCCACAGCTCGCTTTTCTGTTGCGTCACTGCAAGGCAGGGGCACAGTATGACATCGGCGAGGAGAGAGACTGAACAAGGGGGGGAAAGAGGGAGGGGAGAGAGGCAATAAGAAGTAAAGTGTTTATTGAGCTATCTATTTATTCGCAAACATCCCCTCATTACTAACATGGAAAGAATCCAATTTTCTTCTCCGAGGGGAAAGCACAGTGCACGAGCAGACCTGCGCGCAGAGGGCAGAGAGCAAGAGAGCCGAACCAAACGAGAGGGTGGTGAAAACTGTAAATCTCACAAAAAATGTCATATCACATTTACCACAAAATAAAAAAGAGCTTTTTATATTAAAAAATAAAGCCTATTTTAAAGATCATTAGGTCAGGCATCTTGAGATTTTGTTGAATTTTGATTTTGTTGAAGTTGAATTTCTTTTAACACAAGGTTCTCATGTCAAAGTCAAAGGGATTCTTCTAGTACGTTTACAAAGAAATCTTTTTTTTTTTCATGACAATTTAGCACATTTTCCCTAAAGTGTAACATTTTATGTTTCCCCCCATTATTCTCAAAGTTGATTCTCATTACAAATGGTGATGAAAAAATATTGTAATGATCAAAGTAGTATTTATTTAATTTATACAGATTTAATATTTTACATACTGAATAAACGCTGTACAATTTATAATAATAATAAAATAATGCAATTCTTAGCATTACAATAATTAGAACCGAGGCAGAAAATGTCCATAACAGTCATGTCAAAATATATTTTAAGAAAAAAATAGGCTTGATTTGCAAATGCAAATACTAAGAATTTCCCTTAATTTTCGAAATTTTCCATTACTGTATACTGAATTACTACTTAAAATACTTCACTTATAATAATAATACATTTAAGCATTACAGTAATGAGAATTGATTTGGAAAATGTTCTTAATCATCATGGAAATTGTTAATGTACAAATATATAACACACAATAATACATTTAAATTTTTTGGGGGTGGGGGGGGGGGTGACATGGACATGTTCTTTACACTGACATACATTACACTGTTCTCTGTGAGATTTGCCTCAAAAGGGAGGGAAAAATGTGAATGACAAGTTGTACAGGCTTTAAAAGAATTATAGCCGCATGAAGGAAATCTCTCAGCTGAAACGCAAAGTGAGAGAGACAAGTGAACAGAAAGGAAAAAAAAAAAAGAATGAAACACAAGATGAGGAAGACTGGATTATGGGGGTCTGGGAGGGTCTTTGGTTTCCCACCTTGGCTGAAATCATTGTGCCACTTTTAGCCCTGTGGTGGTCTTTTTGAAATCGATGCCCATCGCCCTGCCTTAATGAAACCGGTGGGGACCAGACCGGCACATGGATAAAGTGATGAAAAGAAAGCAAGATGTATGAGAGGGATGGAAAAGCTGAGGCCCAAAAAAAGAAATGAAAATGAGAAAGGGTAGGAGAAAAGACAGATAATGCTCATTTAGCACAGATATCTGTGTGTGTGTGTGTGTGTGTTGGGGGTGGGGTGAAAGAGAGCGGTAACGCTGTGATATCACTAACCAATCAATAACAACTACCAACAATACTTCAAAGAACCTCTCAAAATCTATATAATTTTATCACACGTTATTTGTCCGTACATCACAATGCCCATAACACCGCAAGGGATGTGAGCGGAGCACCTGAGACGTCTGCCATAGATAAGGATGCTTGAAATCAAATCGGTAAATCACTGAAGAGTAAACCCAATCGCATATGAAATCTTTAGCTGGCGAGAGACTGGGTCCTGACAGCGCGCGCGGCCGCCTCACCTCCAGTTCTTTAATAATTCAGACACGGGCGTGTTTATTGATGACTTCTTCCCCACTGCAAAGAGCTTTATCATATTCTCTTATTAGTCCCTTTAGTGCAGCTTGCTTAGACAAGAATTACACAGCAGGTTACATTCCTGTTTTAATACGGGCAGAAAACGCAGCTAAAACGATGCACAGCGCCAAATGCGGTTGGAATTTTTTTTTTTCCTGAGTGGTGTGAGAGTTAGGGATTTCTCAGCTGCTAGAGGATGCTGGCGTAAATAAAAACATCCTTTGGCAGCGAGATCCTAAACGGTCCCTGGAAAAGCAACAAGCCTTTAAAACCGCGCTCACAAACAATGGGGCCTAATTAGCCGAAAAAAAACGGCGGCGTCCTGAGAGGAAAAGATCAGCTGTTTTTACTATTTCATCAACTTCGCACTGTGGGACTCGAAGAGCTGTGGGAAAGCGCAGAGGCTTTTTTCCATCTAAAATGAGGCTTATAAAAGTGATCAAACAGGTTTGAGGAGCAGGGGCAGGGGAGCCGTCCCTCAGGATGAGTGAGTGGACACAGTCCAATCCGGCGGACCCGGGGGGAACTAGCTATCATTAGAGCTGCCTTTTAAGACAGGCTGAAGCCCTTTAAAAACACGGCCCCCTCCTCACCGCTCCGTCTTAGTCTCTCCCACAGGAAGTGCTGAACCCCAAAAGACGGGGGAGCATTTGATCTGTAGGCAGGAAAAGAAGGCAGGAGTGCAAGCTAGTGCACAGTTGAGTGAGCGAGTGTGTGTGGGTTCCTAAAGTGGAAAGCTGGACGGTCAGCTGAGAGTTAGTGTTTGTGTGTATTTCGGTGCGTCTCTGCACAGTATTGTCGGGATGGCGGTGTGGGGGGTGGGGGGCTTTGTTATCTTTCCTTCACACAAAGCCTGGAGATCTGGCTGAGCTGAAAACCCTATTTTTTGCACCTCTTTTTGTGGGGAAAGGGGAAAAAATGAAAGCCTCTGTCGTGGTCTTCCCTTGCCGCCTGTATCACAGCGCTACAAGACCACTCATGCAAATCACTGATGAGGAATTTAATTGTGTGTGATTGGGCATGCTTTCTATTGTGATAAGAAAGAACAGAACGGACATTTTTTCTGTTTTTTAACTACCTTTTGTAAACCTGTTGGTGCTGGAAATGTTACAAAAAGGACAGTCTTCTGAAACTGTGGGTGTTGATGTGGTTTATGGTGTACATTGGTAAGGATGTAACCAAATGAGATCGGGGTGAGCTATACAAAAGGTTGGTAAGGTCTTTAAAGTACTCGTATGTACTTAAAAGTTGTCTTTTAGATGCAAGTATACTTTATAATATTAATATTACAATAGTCAAAGTTCAACAAGGAGAGGACCTTACCCACATAATAGTAGAATATTTCTTAAAATATATATTGAAGAGTTCAGATGCAAAAGCCTCTAAATGCCATTTGAAATTTTCTTCTTTAATGATGATTTTTTATCAAACTTGTATATTTAAGTTCAGTAATTTCACTTAAATAACAATTAATAGGTAATTATCATTGCCATTTAAGTGAAATCACTGAACTTAAATTTACAAGCTTAATAAAAATGATCATTCTAGAAGAAAATTTCAAATGGCACTTAGAGGCTTTTGCATCTGAACTCTTCAATATATATATATATATTAGAGGATAAATTACATAATCATCAGTGTCATCTACGGCTTTTTGGATGTTTTTGAACATAACAAACAATCAAACTGTTAAATGGACCAGCTTAGCATAGCAATTCAGCATAAAATTAAAGTTACCCTACCTATTTTTTAAAGGCATTTTAGTTGGCTTATAGTGAATGATTCATTTCAGTGAAACGACAGGCTTCTCTCTGGTGACCTCTTCAATAATTTTGTCTGCTTAAGCCCCACCTTTTGCTTACAATCGACTGCAAGCTCACATTCAGATCTGCCTCCATCTAATCAACAATTGATAGATATATCCAAGTCATCATTTTTTCTTTTTTTCTATAATCTGTTTCATTCAGAAATACATCAATACAGAAGAAAACATCTGTCGCTACTTCTGTTACATCGCGACTTTAAGTCTCTTTTGATTAGCTTGAACATGATATCACAATGACACACTATGTTTTAGGTATTAAAAACAGCTACCACAGGAAAAGGATCTTGCACAACAGCAGTAATTAGATGCTCACTGTTACAGTCAAAGCCTCATGTGAATGTTTTTGTGTCTTGTGACTATCTAGATACAAGCTGTTTTTTTTTATGTTCTTTTTGTTGTGTAGTTGATCTAATGCGTATATTGTTTACTCATTCCTTTAAGACTGAAGTTTATAGTGAAGCTGTCTTGGTTTGGGTATGGTAATTTGAATGTTTATTTCATTTGTATTTTTTTTCTTCCTTTGTGTGAATGTTAGGATATGTGAGTGTGTGCATTCGTTATTTTTTAGTCCATAATACACATTGGTTAGGTTGCATCTCGCTTCATGTGTCCTTTTTACGTTGCTTACCCCTTTTAACGAATGTTTGATTGGGGGTTCATTACACTCACAAACAGAATTTTTTATAAAATAATTACTATAGGGAATATTTTAGGGTTTAATCTCATTCATGAACCTCAATTTTGCTAGCCAAAATCCTTCTATTGTGATAAGAAATAACAGAATGGCCATTTCTCTGTTTTTTAACTACCTTTTGTAAACCTGTTGGTGCTGGAAATGTTACAAAAAGGACAGTCTTCTGAAAATGTGGGAGTTGATGTGGTTTATGGTGTACATTGGTAAGGATGTAACCAAATGAGATCGGGGTGAGCTACAACAAAAGGTCGGTAAGGTCTTTAAAGTACTCATAAGTGTACATTTTGCACACAGAATGAAAACAGACTTAAGAATTTATGAATCTACCATTGAAAAACCAAAACTAATCAACTAGTAACCTGAATAAAGGGGGGTACATGTGTATGCTCGTCCTTACCTCCATTCTCTCCCATGTTGTTGCTCTGCTGTTGGGATCGTTCCAGGTCTGCCAGTTCACTCAGTAACTCTATGCCATAATTAGGCGCCACTGCATTCCCAGACACAGGTACAGGGGCCGTCATTTGGGCATCTCGCGTGGCACACAGTGCTGCTGCGATGAGCAGTTCCAGGCTCCAAATGCAGCTCCCGGGGTACTGATTCCCCAGTGCAGAGGGCTCAGGACAGGGGGAGAAAGCTGGTGTGGGTGACGCGCACTCATCCTCAGCAACCCTCTCTGGGTCGTGCTCGGTAGGTTCCACAGACTTTAAATCCTGGGTGGTGGTCACGGAAATCTGGAAAGGGTCTTGTAGATCCTCATCTTGCTTCTTGTTGTCTTCAGCTGGCGCTGGACTCTCCATTTCACTAGGCTGGCTATTGGGGATCATGGTTGTCCGGTCCGAATGGGAATCCGCTACTGTAGAGTCAGTAACGGGGCAAAGGGAAGTTTGTGAGAGAGCGGCATCCACCTGTCCTTCATCCACCTGTCTGTCTGTCACTTCACCCTCCTCTGCTACATCCTCTACTTCCTGGGACATTCTAGTAGGAGAGCCAACGCCAGTGTGGCAAACAGGCTCCTCCTCTTTCGGAGAAAGGGGGTGGGGCTGAGGTGCAGGTTCTGCAGGTTCCGCTTGCTCCGCCTCTAAGTCGGCATGCTCAGCCAATTGGACTTCTTGAGGGGAGGGGCCACCCTTGTAGCCCATGGCGATGGCGGGGTAAGTGTAGCCAGGAGGGAGATCTAAAGGAAAAAATGGGAATAAAACTGATTGAGTGTTTCCATAAACACTGATGTTAGTTTGGGCTCCTCAACCTTGTTTGAAGTCACTCTATTACAAGCATAAAGATTTAACTGCTCCTGAAACACACTTCAGCGCACAGCGAAGCAGCAACCCATTACCATTCATTTGTAATACACATCACAATATGACCTTGTCAGTTAAGGGGCACGGCCCCCTGCCGCTGAAGTGCAGAGAGGGGTGATATATATGCTGTATACAGAAGCATTAGCGACAGTGTGTACCATTCGTTGCGTTTATCTAGTATAACTCACACACATAATGGAGCTGGCGCCATAAAGGCTATGGCGCAGGCATGAGCGAATTTTCCATGAATATTGAATTATGTTCAAGTTGTTATGGATGTAGTGTGTGCGAGAGAAAGAAAGAGTGCACAGAGGAATGTTTGTGTGTAAATTAGTCTTTAAGCGAGAGTGTGTATTTGTCTCGTCCACCACGTGAGTGAAAACGATTGTGCAGGGAATGCTGCATGCATGAAAATGTGAGTGTGTGCGTGTGTGTGTCTGTATATGAGATCTGCAGCATAGCCGGGTATATTGATGACAGCATGGTGTCTGGGTGTGATTGCACAGCCAGCCCTGTCACCTCAGTGTTGTGTTATTGATGGTATCCATCCGCCAGATGAATGCGTATCCCTCCGCCAGCCCGCACTCAAGGACCTCTGAAGGATAAGAGAGGCCCTTTCTGCTGTCTCACTGACCTCCCTACTGTTTTCTGTCTATCTCACTCATACCTACCCTGTACGGCTAGCTGCTCTCCATGGAGTACTCCACTTTCTTGCACATACAAATGTGTCAGAAATTGATACAATGGTGCAAAGACACAAACACAAAGCGAAAAGTCTGCGCTTATCCTTCCATTCATATTAACAGGCAGATTGTCTCCAGTAATCAAAGGGCAACAAGTCCTTCAAAGGCTCTGTGTATCTTATCTGTGGCCAAATATCTCTCTCTTCTCTTGATCGTCCCTGTGGTCTCGGTCTTTTTTTCTACCCTGCCATCTCTTCTCTTCTTTTTATCCTTCTCTCCTTCACTGACTCCCCCCCCAGGGGTTTGTGGAGCCAGGCGCAATGGCAAGACCCTAACCTTGAGAATGAAATGAAATGTTCCAGTCTCTTTCCTCTAGTTGCTGTGTTTTTTTTTTTCTGACTCAAATATGAGGGCTTTGGGAGTGAAAGCGAATTTGAAAAAACACGATTTTGCCTTTTAATCTATGGTTTACTCTGTTAACCCCTTTTTTCAGACTGGATTATTATTTCTGTTAGGGGTGTAACGATACCCTCATGTCACAATTCGATACATGTCACGATACTGAACTCACGATACGATATTTTGCGATACTCGAAGACATGGTAAAAGGTTAACAAAAAATGTACGGTTGATTAAAATGCTAACTTTTGAAATTGCATTGTAGGTTTAAATAAATAGGCTTGGTGCTTGTAACCCAAGGACAATGAGAATGATGACACCAGAATAACAATATTCATGATTCTGACGCTGAAATTGCTGAGTTATTGTAGATGAATTTGCTTGCACGCTTTCAATGACTAGATATATTTAATATAATGGTGGCACTTTTTACTGGAAACATCAGACATTTGGCATTATCAGGACCCACAAAAATTCCCCCATTGCATTATTATACATAATAATCAACATTATATATAGTAGTTCAATGTAGTACTGACATTAAAACTCTGAAAACTTGAATTTTTTCTCACACAGTAATTTTTATTTTGGGGGGACTATCCACGATACATATTGTCAGTATCCACGATACGTATTGTTGCATTTTTGTATTGCGATATATTGTGGCACAATATATTGTTACCCCTAAATTCTGTGTGATTTTTTTCTATTTTGGAAAATAAACATTATAATAGACAATCATTTGTCTATTACAATTGGCTTATATCAGCCAATAGTATATGATACTAATGATATCAGCAAAATAAACAGAAGCTCAACCGTACTTGCTTGACATGCGAGAAAAAACCTCATTGTTTGTTGTGCAACACATGAGAATGAGCTCATTGGTTCTTACCAGCTAACTACCAAATTAGCTAACTACCAACTAAAACAAAATTAATAAATTAATATTAATGAGCAAAGCTTAAAAGCTATATAATGAGTCCTCCTCCCACTTTTCCTATTATTACTACACCCCTGTAACTTGTGTTCACAATAGCACCCATCTACAGGTAAACCCATTGTTTCTGTAAGTACACTAAATACATTCACTGAATAAACGTGCTTTTGAAATAACAGACATGAATGCTGCCATTTTCCACTCACCAGGCTCCAGAGACTGAGGGTAGTCCTGTGGCGGCTGGCCCTCACCCCTCTTGTCCTGGGACTCTGCGGGTTTTGGTAGGTGGTGGGGGGTGGTGTGGGGGCTGAGTGAAGGGGAACAAGGGGCAGCCACGGCCGGGCTGGGCTCAGGGCAGGGCGTGCAGGGCGTACTCTTGAGATGGGACCGCGGGGCGGGAGAGCGACAACAGGGCGAAAGACGAGAGGCACAGCCCCCTGGGGACGAGGAGGAGGGGGGAGGTTTAGCGGAGGGTCCACCGGAGAAAGGCTTCGTGTGCTTAGGCGTGCGGAGCTCAGACGATCCCTCAACCAGATCGATGGGGGGATCCTCAGGTTTCCTCTGCAGAAGGAATTACAAACGGGCTTCAGAGACTGCATAACACAGAGCACTACAGCAACATTATTTACAACTGAAATGCATTTATAGTGGAAAAGGGATGCTGACATGATTCAGTCACCTCAGGTTTCTTGCATAACGACACGCACCAGGGGTGCAGTACAATGGGTGCTAATGATCCTCTGTTCACTTGCATTCTGCTCTGCTTCTTTGTACAAAAGCAGCCAGATAAAAGCCTAAATCCTGCCCTGTTCCTGAGAAGAATCCCACTCTTTCAAAACTTCCAACATTTAAATGCACTTTGAAAATGAAAGCTGGTCGTTTCTTTGGCTATAACTGCTATGAATTTCTGAGAGCAAGAATGGCAGGCTTTTTTCATAACCTTGGGCACCCTGGGTAGGCCTGCTGAAATACGTGGGGCTTCAGTAGAGAAATAGCTGTTGGGAAATCACATTGAGTGGTACAAGGAAACGTGGCTACCCATATGTATGTGTGCCGTCTCCTTCATGCGTTACCTGTGAGTGACTGTGTCTGTGCACCAACTCCATTGCCTGTGCCGCTCGGTGCTGCTGGTGCTGATGTTGCTGCAGCGCATAGAGTTCCTGTTGCCGTAGAAACTGGGTGCGGGAATAGACTGCGGGATGCTGCATGTGTGAGGCGGGCCCTCGGGCTCCGTAAACAGGGGGCCACAGTCCCTGCTGCTCCATTACATCTGCAGAGAGTGAGAGAGAGAAAGGAATGAGAAAAGAATGAACAAAGGTTTTTCTTTTTGCCTCAAGGCGAGTCTCAGTTATCGCTCTGAAGGCCTATTGATTTACGGCTATAAGATTCCACTCCTTTTCCGTCCCTCTTTTCTTCTACTCTCTTTTTTTTCTTTCCAAAAGTCATCCTCCGTCCCCAGGGAAAAAATCCACTCACATTTCCACATCTCTTTCCTAATCATGTAACACACTCAATCCGTGGGCAGAGAGAGAATGCAAACTGCTTCCTTTTTACATCGCCTGTCCCTTGCACTCAACTGTTAGCCTGGCCATACCACGGCGGATTAACGCAAACCGACGGTCACCAGTGAGCGCACCAGCCACACTTGCCTGATCTCTGGCTATCGCATGCCGCAGTGCCAGTCAAGACGATTCAGCGCTGCTGTCTCAGACTGTCACATGAATGTGGCTCCTCTGACAAGACCTACCTGACAGCCTGCTGAGAGTAGGCAAGAAAGGTCTACTCCCAAATGGCTCACTCATTCACAAAAGCTTGGGCTGGGTTATTATGCCTGTAATGAGGGTTAGGTGAATGGTGTTGGCCTTAAAAAGGAGCACTGATGTTATATCCAGAGACAAACTCTTGAGGAGAGGAGACAGACATGGAAGCGTTAAGGTCACACGTTGTCTCGGCCTCACAAGGCACTGAAGGCAGACAGGCCACCTGATGCCCACTGGCCACCTGATGCATATTGCATGCAAAAACGACAAGTGCCATCTAAAATAGCCAGTTCCAATATGACCGACTGACGCTAAATAAATGGAAACAACTGGAAAAAGTTGTGCTTACAAGATGCTGGGTTGATACAATGAGCAGGGATGAAATAAATCACTGGATTTGGTCAAGAGAGTTATCAAGTTAAATATCAAGTTAAAGGGATAGTTTGCCCCAAAAATTTAACTTCATTAAATTGTCATTTAACTGTCATTTAATCACTCTCATCTTGTTCCAAACTGGTATTACTGTCTTTTGTGGAACAATACAATATTTTTTTTTCTATAAATTCAATGAAAAACCTCTTGACTTGCATTATATATATATATATATATATATATATATAATGATATATAGAGGACATGCGCGTGACGTCACCGTTGACCGGAGTGCCTGCAGTTACTCACAGTGAGTGGTATTTGTTTTTAGCGTGAATGCCGGGAAAAACAAACACAACACATATAAAGTGGGAAAGACCTTTGCGATTGACTGTACAACTAGATTTGACAAAAAAATCTGAGGTATATTTTTACAGACTGCTATAGAAAGAGGAGCAAATGGATCGCTGCAAAACACAGAAACAACTGGACTCCAGTCAGCGAAAGGTGGATTTGCAGTTATCATTTTGTGTCAATATGCTGAATTGAGGTGTAAAACCATTCCCATATATTTTGTATTGTTATATATATTAACAACTCATCAATTAAATATTTATCATTGCATATTCTGCATTATTGGATGTTTTTTTTATAAACACTGACCAAAATAAAAAACTATTACGTTTTAGGGGTGGACGATATGGCTATATATAACATTGATATAAGTGATCACCCGGATTTAGACCTACCTACATTATATTTATATAAAGCATTCACAGGCAAATTTGCTTTATGTTTAGATCTATATTGCTTTTATTTCCCCGGTGTCAAAATCAGGCAAACATAAATGTCAGGCAACACGATTCCTGGCTGCATGTCAATATCCATGGATCACTGGATCTTTAGTAAGTTATAAGGAACACTATATTGAGTCCAACATTTAGTTTAAATTGATAAAATCGTTCGTTTTAGTCGCATTTTCAAAGTTTTCCCTATAAAATCCAGTCACGCAGCAGATCTTTTGCCACTCAGTCAGGCTGAGGGGGGGTTGTTCCGGCGGGAAAGTGACGTCAATGCATTCCCTCTATATGATGAGCATGAGGAAAGGATGCCAAAGTCTGCCTATATGTGACTAGGCATTTCACAGATGCAATGTTTGTGCTGTTTAATCGCTAAGCGCACAGGAAATTTGAAAGGAGTCGGTCATTTCTGAAACAAGCTGATCAGATAGGAAGGACAGAGGAAGGGGGAGAGTGAGGGAAAGAGTGTAGAGGGATGAAGCGCAGCTGTGCAAAGCACTTAGTCTCAGCCTTGAGCCTCAGCCCACAGAAATTTCAACACAATATGTTTTTCTTTCAGCCATTCGGTTTTGCATGCTGCATATTCTCCGCCCCTCCTTCCTTGATGTATGGCAAGGACCTTTGTTTGGGAAAGATTACTGGGACAGGGTTATGTTTCCCTAGGGAGGGATCCAATGGATGCACTTCCCTTCTTTGTTGCGGAAAGGGGAGTGTGACGCTAAGGAGCAGAGAGCTAATTAAATTTCACAGCCAGTGTGGGTAGGAGGAATGCCGAACAGAGGCGCACAACACAGGACAGCAGAGCACAATACAGCAAAAAGCCACGCCGCATAGCAAGGCACAGCATAATAGGGCAAAAAGGCACACAGAGACGCACAACAAATCAAAGCACAATGCCAGAACTGTGCAGACATGATAGCACAGCCAAACACAGCATGGCATGACAAAGCACAGTGCGTTACAGTTTCGAACCATTAAAGACATGCTAAGTATACCATATTCTAACTTTGCTCAGGCAGAGAATGACACAAACTGCTGGCATGAGCTGATCCTAAATATTGTATTGGTTTAATTGGTAAAATTCTATCTGATACCGATAAGCCAATAATTATTTTCACGTTATCGCAGTAAACCAATAAATTAGTCATGTTAAATGATACAAGTGAATTTAGGATATTAAGTATTGCAGCATACAGTATGAATAATTAATATTCATTCTGAGATTTGCTGAACAGTGTTGTTAAATTAACTTTGTAAAAGAGAGCATTAGATAAAGGCAAAGGTAGTCTAAAGGTAAACAAATAGAAGCAAGTAAAATTAAATATTTGATATTGACCAATAGCAATATATTTTTTTTTTTTAAATAATGTTGGCCAAAAACTGATATGTACTTAGTATATAGTCGTAGAATGATCTTCCGCAGTGCAAAAACCCATTTTGATCCCTAAATTGTTATTTTTCCCTGTACCCCTCACTTTCTCAGATTCCACACATTGACACAAAGGAGACAAACTCCTAAAAGCCCACCTGGGCCAATTCTGCTGCCATGCGAACAACATATTCATACAAATTTAATCTAAACCAACAGACCCTGAAACGTACACCCACACAGTGACTTTAGATCTCCATTTCTCTCACTCGCACACGCTTATCTATGCATACGCCCCCCTTCCCCCCCACACACACACTCAAAGTCAAATACGCAAGCTATCTACTTGAAATGATAATTTGTTTAAACAGTTTGAATAATTCCACTTTGCGCATTCAGAGTGTGCATTAGGGCCGCTTGTGAAACGGTTCCCATTAAGTCCATACTACAATGTGCTGTAAATGCCTGCTTGGCTTAGTGAAGCGTTTCACAATAATGATTACAGAATGATACAGGGGCAGAAGGGGATGAGATGGAACTGTGCAGAGGGGGAAGGGACATTAGACCCAAGGGGAAGGCATTCAGTGTAGAATTCTGGAACAAAACAAGTGGACAGACTGATCAAGGATTAAATTGCTGTAACTGTCTTGCTGTTAAAGGAAAAGTTCACCCAAACATGAAATTTCTGTTTATTTCTAGTTATTATAAGAAAGCTGTGTGATGATTGTACAAAAATCAGCTTTTGTGTTCCGAGGAAAAAAGGCAGTAACACGGACTTGGAACAAGGTGAGTAATTTTTAGGTCATTTATCTATTTAAGGACTATTCACAACAAGTGAGTAGTTTACTAAGGTAGTTTATACATACAAAAACAGCACAAACAATTAAAAATTCTTCATTTGCATGGTCTTTGAATAACCTCCATGCGTATTCTAACCAACTGGCATTGTTGCTAGAAAAGCACAATTCCTGGTATAAATAAAATATCAGTAATTTTTGGAAATTTACCAAGGTGATGAGTGGCAGGGTGGGCTGCTGGCTCGGTAGGCAATACCACTAGGGCGGTGGAGGGGTCCTGAGGCAGGGGCAAGACTGGCTGCAAGGGGCTGGGCATGGTTGCAGAGAAGCCTGGGGTCAAGTTCTGGTGCAATGCTGCATGACTGAGACCTGAACAGACATAGAAAACTGCTTAATGATGAAAGATTTTGGCTTAAGTTTCAATACTAATGGGCAATTCATTGATTATTTAGTAGGGTAAAACTAATTAAACAACACGTGCAGAAATTCAACAAGACCATGAAGTATATTGTAATCTAATATCATCAAAACAGATGGCATTTGCTCACCATAAGAGTGACCCATCCAGAGGGAGGGACTTCCTGTCCGAGGCATCCAGTGATGATGGGCGGGGTGGGCGTGAGCAGATGGCTCGGTGCCTAATTGGCTACCGCCTGGCACAATAAGGTGTGAGGTCAAATCTCCATGGCAACTACTGGAGGGGTGGATCCTGGCAAACTCAACTCTGTCTTTGTTTTCCCTGAGGGGAGGCCATCAAAATGGTACAATGTTACTCTCTTAGGCAGGAAAACTACACTGTGGCATGCTGACTCTGCAGGTTGATCTTTGGAAACCACATATGACTAAAAGCCATACCTGAGGAGGAGTTCCCGCTCTCTGTCGAATGGAGGCAGTCCAAGCTGCTCCTCACAGATTCTCTTCCTGTCTTCATCCATCTCCCGCTCCAGCGGGTACATTGGGCGTCCAACACCTAACACAGAACAGTTGAGCACCATAATCTGAACACCCACACCACTGATCTTAAACATAAGACCATCCTGTGGCAAAAGTCTCAGTGGCTGTGTCTGAAACCAAAGGCAATCTGCCTAGCTGCCCAGTTAGTAATTGACTCAAAGAAACCTTTAAAACTGATTTAAAACCACCTTCCGGAGCATGTGAAATATACAATTATGTACATTTTAAAACTAATTTGCCTTTAATGATTTATTTAGTAATTTCACACAACATTTATATTCTTTCAATCAAATGCCAAACCAGAGGTACAGGATAGTGGGATATCACAGTCTTTTTATCTCTATATAGTGTGTATAAAAATAGCATTTTCAAATATAAGACACAGCCAAGGTGCTGCAACTGGGTAATAGTTATTCAGCATTTTTAACAGGTGGCTGCTAATTGTCATACTACATTTGTATGATCTTGGCATGTGTTTATATGAGAATATAGTACACAGTCCTAATGAAGATTTAAGATTTAACACCTACAAAATATGATGGGATGAAGTAGTTTGGATTAACAACCAAAAAATCTTATGTGACCATTCCTTTAATCTTAAGAGGTGAGACATTTAGAAAAGTTCATCAAGCACATCCAGTAAACTGAAAAATTATATATAGCTTGTTACAAGTCACACTTGTACACACACACCAGACTTCCTGTCGAGAGTCGCTTACCCTTCATGCTGGGCATCACTCTGCTATGGTGGCTGTGGGTGGGATGCCCGTCTGGCAGGCGGCACAGGGGCTCTCTCTGCCTGGCAACGGCCACTGCTATCCCTACAGGGGGCTGTCGCACCTCTCCCTCCCCCTGAGCTTCCCCTGAGTCCTTGCCCGCCCGCTCTAAACGCGCGTTCTCCCCAGATGATGAGGATCTCCTGGGGGGCAGGGTCTGATTCGCCTCCTGTAGAGCACTGCTCGCTCCGCTTCCGCTTTTGTCGCTTCTCTCACTCCTCTCCCCAGTTACTGCCCCCTGCTTGATGCAGCCCAGGCCACCAAATGGGCTCTTCTGAGAGAACAGCAGTGGTTGCTGGCTGCTGTACTTCATTAGACTACTCATGGCATTACTTTCAGGTCCCTGGTGGCCCAGTGTGGCCTCCTGCGGGGCGGTTAGAGGGGGAAGAGGCCCTTGGTCCCCACGTGAAGTCTGGGAAACAGCACCCAGAGAGTTGTAAGCCTTGTGCGGTTCTTCATCCAGCCGAGCCGGGTGTCCTTGAACCTCCCAGGAGGGATGATTGCCGGTCTGATGCCCACTGTGTCCCTGTGACTTGGACTCCAAGTCCATCTTCCTCTTGTCTTGTGCGCTGCTGCTATGCTCCAACTCTGGACCCTGTCCACCAGTGCTAGCCCTGTTACTGTGCTGCTGATGACGTATCCGTGCAACTCTCTGAGTGTTCCTCTGAAGGGTACACTCAATCTCTGTTGCACCTTTACCTTCGGACGAAGCCCTGTTCGACGGACCTGAGTGGGTACAGTCCCGGAAAGGTGGAGTGCTGGCATAAATGCTACTCTTCGCTTGGTGGCCACCCTTCGTCCCCTGTGGCAGAGAGGGACGGAAGGCATCAGATTCCTCAGTGCTGTCCAAACTACATGAACGAGCCGAGTGGGGATTCTGATTCTGACTGTGCTGAACCTCGTTTGTGCGTGAATGTGGGCCCGGGGGCCAGTCTGGGCTCTTGTCTGCTTTGCCATATGTGTGTTGCTGCTGGGAAGATTTTCTTTGGCAGCTACTCGGAGGAGGCAGTAGGGTAGTTGCTCGACTTCCACTGCTACTCCTCTCAGGAGTTTTCATTTCTTTCCCTGCACCACCCCCGACCATCCCACCTCCCACACCTCGACAGTGAGGGTTTCCTAGCTGGAATGGTCCACTGGTTTTGTCTCTCAGTGGCCCCACAGAGGGCACAAACGTAGGCCCTGTTAACTCAGAGTCCCTGCCAAGGCTCTTTTCCTGAGCAGTGGGCATGGTTAGTGGAGCAGGGGGTGGTGGGCAGAAGAGATCTGGGTGGGGATGATGAGGATGATGATGGTGCGGATGACTTGGGTGCAGCCAGGATGCTCCTACGGCAGACCCTAGGCTAAGGTGAGGAGGCATGGAGTAGGGCACTGGGTGGGCATGGCCCAACATGGCACTGTGGCGAAGACAGTCTGAGGGCTGCTCACTAATTCGCATCTCTCCACTGACTCCTTCCTTGCAACAATGACCATCTCTGCTGCTCTGCCGGCCAGTCCCCAGACCCGAGGCCCCCGGCCCCACACAACTTGGCAGGGAGCCCCTAGTTGTGGCCCCTGGATCAGAGCCATTCTGGGTCTTGGTGCTGAGCAGGCAGGAACTAAGTGTCTTAGGATCATCTTTGTGCCGAAAATGTTCTTCTAGGCCATGGGGGTGGTGTTGTGGCTGGTGCTGGTGGTGGTGGTGAAGGGTGGGAGGACCATGATGATGACGATCCTGCTTGGACTCTTGTTTACTCTTTTCTTTTTCTTTGCCTCCGGGTGCTACTCTTCGCTCTGCTACACCCGTCTCTTTGGAGCTCTTCTGGGATGCTGTGCTCCCAGGTTCCCGCTCACGACTGCAGGAGTCCAATGGGTGGGCGAGAGCGGTCCTTGATAATGGTGGGAGGCTGTGATTGGAGGAGAGAAGTTGGGGCTGCGACGGTAGGTTTCGTAGATAGAAATCTTAGGAAAGAAAGAAATTTAGACAAATACTTTTACATAAACTGTTTACTGTTGCTTGACAGGAGAAATTGAACCTCACTCACCTTTCTGAGTGTCATAGAAACGGTGCTGTCCATAGAGTACGCTGCTGTTGCCATGGTGATCGAGGGGGCTCATGGACAGGAAGGTGGGGGCTAGACTCCCTGAAAAGCGGGGATACCCTGGGGCTGAGAGAGAGAAAGGAGAGAGGGGAGAGAACATTGTCAGGATAAACAAATGTAACAAAAGAGAGTGACAGTTTTGGCCTTTTGCTGTGGTTGGACACAGGTTCATGAAGCCCTACAGCATGGTAGAACCTTTCCCAGAATCCCCTGCATAATCAAAACAAGTTCAGTTCTATACCTCGAAGAGCTTTCAGAACTTTTTAGAACTCTTTAGAACTGTTTACAATTATTTAAAATTACAGACTTTTAAAAATAATCTAAATCATTTTTTTTAAAATGTTTTTATATATTTTTCAAGGTAAAAATACTTTACAAATATCATGAAATATTAAAAGATAAATATCTATTTATAAAATATATATATAAATATCTTGTCTTTGAGGAGTTGCACCCCATGATATTTTACAATAAATATGTGTATATATATATATATATATATACACACACACATATTTATAAAGAGAGACATTCACAGACACAAAACAACATGCTCTTTAAACAGCTATGCACACACGTCCTACTGGTTCAAAGAGAGGTAAATGGCCGCTCAGCTTGACTCTAGTCTCTGACTCCAATCTTCAAGGACACTGAACTGTTTCCTGAGATAGTGAAGGCTACAGTGGGGTGTATTTATGTGTAAACTAAGCACATGGCTGAAACCCAACCACAGACCAGCAGAGGTCAATGGCCAGGCACACAAGGGTCACATGCTTAAGCCGCCCACAACACAGAGCTATTATAGGCCATCTGTGGTGTGTGTGAATGTGTGCGACTGTGTGAGTGTGTGTGTTTTTGTCTTTCAGTGAAATGGTACTCCTTTTGAGGGCAGCGTATCCTTGTGTCTTTCTGATTGCGTGTTCCTCTGTGCATGTATTTGCTTGAGACACCCTGTCCTTGCACACTGTTTAATTGGATGCAGTTAAAAGTTTAACGGTTCGGGGCCAAAGTAAACAACAGTTCATAATGCTCATCCTCAGCATTCCACAGAGCCATTGTCCCATAGCCTACAAAACACACACACTGTCGTGACCCCATCGGTCCTATCACAATAGGAAACTCTGGAAAAAGACGATGGATGTGCACGATTTATTGGTGCCATATCAATCATCAGCCGATATTAGAGAGTTTTTATCAGCAACAGTCAATATTGGATATTTAGTTTTGCATGCTCTTTTACCTTTATGTTACAATTGCAGTCATCTAACGCTCACTTAAAATGAATCTTTACAAACACAAATAATTTAATACTACTATTAAATCTAAGATTTAGCTAATCTCACAATTAATATACATTTTTCATTGCATCATTTTCAATTACTGATGTTATCTTATTTTATTATTATTTCTTCAAAATTTTACAGCAATTTATGGGTTATCCGCCATAACATAAACAAATAAAAATACTAAAATTGGTTTGGTAACTAGCTTGGCTATTGCTGCTGTAAACAGCATAAACCAGCGTTTCGTGATTGGTAGAACTGATGAACACACACCTCAAGAAGCTTTGTTAAGACTTTCATTATAGTAACAGACATTTGGGGAATGAATTAAACCTTTGTGTAACACAAATATCAATAACGAGCAAGAGGGTGAAAGTGAGAAAGAGACGTGAAAGAGGGAGTGTGAGTGTGATAGAGACGGAGCATATCATTTCAGGAAAGGCAGATTATGAGGGAGACAGACCGTAAGTGACTGTGGGTACATGTGTGACTGTGTGGATGAGAGAAAGAGCGATTGAGAGACAAAGGAGCAGGGAAGGAGATCTCCCCCTCTCCTGCCTCTCCTACTAATTGACACCAGTGGAGCGTCCTGCTGACAGTGACATCACAGGGGAGTCCAGATGTGTAATATCGGGCCTTCTGGCTGCACCTGTTTCCTACAGCCGCTGAATTTCAATGTTATCGACACACACTTACGCGGCGCGCACATACACACACTCCTGCAGCGTGCGTAGATACAGAGAGACGCACACATTAACGTGAACATGCACTAAGACGAGGAAACAGTCATTTGTAAACGTGTGTATGTCCTTGAGCACTGTGTACACATATACTAATGTGTATGTTATGTACACTACAGTTTTTTAATATTATTAAAAAGTCTCAAACTCACCAAGACTGCATTTACTTGAACATAAATACAGTAAAAACAATGATACCGTGATATTTTATTACAATTTAAAATAACTATTGCTAAATGTAATTTATTCCTGTGATGGCAAAGCTGAATTTTCAGCATTATTTCTCCAGTCTGCATTATTTCTTTTTTTCAGGATTGTTTCATGAATAGAAAGTTAGAACAGGATCTATTTGACATATATTTTTTTTGTAACAATGAAGAAGTCTTTAATGTCACTTTTGATCAATTTAATGCACATTTGCTGGATAAAAGTAATAATTTCTTTAAAAAAAAAAAAAATTGCATTGAGCCCAAACTTTTGAACGGTAGTGTGCAGTCTCAAAAAGGAGATACAAAGGAAATGGGAACTGAACAGACCAGACCATCACAGTTGATGCCAGACCAGAGGAAGAGAAGAGGAAGAGGAGAGGAGGCAACATCACAATCCCCCCAATCCCTCCGTTCCACAATTAATTTAAATGCCAACAATTAGAGCAGAGCAGCACGGCAGTCTGAAAGCAATCACACTCTAATGATGAGCAATAAATGCAGTCCAGCAAAGACCATTACAGGCTAGAGTGACGAGAGACACACACACACACACTAATCAAACACACTTATTGTAAACTACAGCTCCCCAGTCTGAATGAAAACTCTATTCATCTAAATGAAGAACGATGAGGCCACGGGAGCTCAGTGTGCCAGATCAAACTGAGATTGGGCTCAGAAGCCAAGACACTGTTTTTGTTCTGTAAGACTGAGAAGCAGTGAAAAGTACAGGTGGGGAGTGTTGGACAGTGTCCCAAACAAAGTCAAAGAGGATCTGTGGTTGGTTGGTTGTGTGTGCGTGTTCTTTTACACAGAACTACCTATTCAATCATATGCACACAGACATTAACCCTAGTGAGCTGCGCGCCAGTGTTTCTTTTATGGAGGTAATTTTCTCTTTAGTCTATGAGAAATTATAAACAAATTATCAACTGCCACTCCATACCTCCATCTTTCAGTAAAATACTATTAAATTCAACTTCTAAGTACTAATTTCAATTTCAACATTTTTATTGACTATTTAATTTGAATAACTTAATCAGTAACAAAAAAAGTACCAGTAATAAACTGAACAAATAAAATAAAATAAACTAGTCAATCTGTTCCAATCATTAAGAAGTGCTGTAAGTGTAACTCAATACCAGCTCCACCATGGAGCAATGACCACAATCATATACCTTTACATGCAGGGCACAATAAAGTGCATCAGATTACAGCCTCTCAAGTGCATGACAAATTCAACATCCATGTACAGTACAAAACTGTAATAGTATATACGTGAAAAGAAGAAGAGCATGAGTCTGTGTGAGAGAGATGTGTGCCTCTGTTCATTATTACAATTTAACTAGATATTCAACAATCGTCATCTTGATTATCTATTACATTACTTTATTCATAATTGTTCATTAAAAGTACATTTGGTCGCACTTAAGCCTTTATGTATATGTCACAGAGCTACCCTCAGTTCTTTGTGAACCCTTCTACAAAACACATGAACACATACTTGGTTTTAAAAAGACTCTTTATTTACCTTAGTGTACCAGCGACATGAGAGATAGGTTAAACACACAAATATATCTTCAACTATACTGTTGTGTCTCAGCACTGAGCACTAACCCTGAGGACATTTAAAGTTTGCTACTGACTGTTGATTGTCACCTGGAGCAGCATGGTGGCAGCCATCTTGATTTAGGTAAAAGACCAGAATGTAGTTTTCTCATGCTTTTTATACCTGTGCTGTGTTGCATCATGGGAAGTGGGAGATACCAAGTATGGTGGGAAAGGAAGGGGAATTGGTTGATGTTAGTGTGTTCTTCCTTTAATTATTGCTGAAGTTTACTTATTGAAGTTTGTACTGTTATTGAAATTTGTGTGGAGTTACTTGATCACATAATATGTTTATTTGATATTTATTACCTGTTCATGGTCATTATTACTTCCCCAAGTGATTATTGCAGAGAAATGGTTGTACCCAGGTGTATAAATTCTCACAGAATGAAGTGATCAGGAGGCTAAAGGCTGATGGTAGTGAATACTGTATCAACTGAGTACTGTGATTGAAGTATTAGACCTGATGCAAGGCTAGTGTCTTTGGTATATTGACTTTGTTGTTCTTTTTTTCTTTCTTTTGTAATTTTTTCATGCTGTGGCACCTGTGAGCACCTTGCACTTTACTGGCTAACATAAATAAATATAAAAATGGCATTTAATGTCCTCCATGTGTTCTTTTGAAGAACTCTGGATGTCTTTGTGACAGTATAATGCATTATAAAAGTATTTGTAATGCATTAATTATGCATTGTAATGCATATATAATCTCATGAATATGAAGTCATATCACACCTTCAAAGTTAACCAAATTCCAGATGTAACAAGGAATTGGTGTGAATAGTATAATGCATTTTAACTTTGGTGACAATTATTTATGAAAAGATATAATGCATTATAACGAACATAATGAATACATTTATTATCCATTATACATAAAGGCTTTAAGTGTTAGCACCATTTTCTGTTCATTTGTCTCTAAAATGTCTTTACCCTTACTTTTCTAAACACTACAAAATACAAAACAAATATTGCTATATTTTAGTTTTACTATACCCATTTTGTCATGCCATTAAAAAGTCATCGTTTAAACTGATATAGATAGAAAGCAGTACAATATAAAGAAAACAAACAGGGCTGATGCACTTCTGATCTTCTATCGCACTAATTGAAGCAAAGCGGCAGAACGAAGCCGGCAGACGGAGGGAGGAGAGAGCAGAACACAGAGGGGAAGAGGAGGACGAGGGGAGGGGATCTTGTCAGCTCTGTTAATTGCGAGATGTGCTGAA